ATGATGTCCGTACCCCCCTCCTCCTCCCCCGGGGCCCCTACTCCCAAACGAAGGCGCGTTGTGCGACGAGTGCGAGGAGGAGTGGTATCCGGCGTACCCGCCGTGCCCGTGCCCGTGCCCGGAGGGGTCGTCGGAGGGCGAGCGCGAGTGCGAGAGGGCCAGGCTCCCACCTGGACCGCTTGAGTGCCCGAGCCGGCGCTTGGAGGAGCTGAGGCGCGAGTCGGAGATGGGCAGCCCGCCGCCGCCTAAAGGGGAGGACTGCGAGTGGGGGAGACCATGGGAATGGGAGTGGGAGTGCCCGTGCATGTGCGGGGGTGCTTGGGGGAGGGTGAGGCCGTGGCGGCCGTAGGGGTCCATCTGGTGTGGAAAGGAACGGAGAGAAGAGAAGGGTAGGGGGTCTGTTAGATGAGGAGTGATGAGAGAAGGGTAGGAGATGGGACGTACACCACTGGTAACCATGTCCAGAGGAGGCTTCAGCTTCTCGTCTCGCGGGCGCTTGAGCGTCCGAGGAGCCATGTCGTCGTCATCGTCCACGTCATCATCGTCCCCATCGCCCATATCCGCCGCCTTGCTGTTGGCGTTGCCCGAGAAATCGTTGGGCCCTCGAGTGTCTTTCTCGCCATCGTGCTGTTATCGTCGTCGTCATCGCCATTAGATCGGTGAGCTGGCAGGGAAGAGGGAAAGGGAGGACGTACGTGGAGATGCCGCTGGACGATATTGTTGATGTCCGATGAGCAGTACTGGTAGAGCTTGAGGTGGTGGCCTGGCCGTTCCTCTATAAGACGATAAAAATAGAACAATGGTCAAGAAAATGCCAAGGGGGGCGGGATGGGGCAGTAGCCGACGAGGACGCACCAAAGATGATGACGGCGACGTCGACGGAGCAGAGCACGCCGAGCTCGTAGGCCTTCTTGAACAGCCCGTTCTTGCGCTGTTGGCGGTAGATGTGGCAGAAGAAGACGGGCGGCAGGTTGGATGAAGTGAGATAAGAATAAGCCAAATGCCAAGCCTAATGAGCACAAAAATAGCGAATGAAGGGGACGAGCCTGGACGTACTTTTAAAAAGGTGACAGAACGGTTTCGTTCGTGCTAAGTATAATCCAGGGTAAGCGACCGCGGTGTGGTGAGGAGGGGCGGGTATTATTGGAGGTGGGGACGAAGGAGGGGAGGAGGGGAGGGGACGATAATAGGACGGCGGAGGGGTGACTTACGGTGATAGGCTGTATTTCGATCTTTCTTCGACCCATTGTTAGAGCTTGCTTGGGAGGGAGGTGGGGAGTTGACGGAGAGCTGCTCTGACGCGGGCGAGCTCTTTGAGCGATGAGCGAGCTTTGCCCAGGTTTGTTTTCCCTCACAGCGCGGCATCTGCTGCCGCGGGAATCCGGGCATCTCCGCCAGCTCCGCGCCAATGATTGGCTGGGATCGCACCCGTGCCGAGCGGTGCCGCACCTCTGGTTCCCACAGACTGGGCCCGGTGATGGGCTTCGATCAGGCATTCTTCTCCGCAGCAACCCAGCTCTGCTCGCTCCTCGCTCCCGTCGGATCTTTTATCAGCCTCCTCCCCCTCATCACACATCATATCTGCCAGCCAGGAGCCTGCTGGTCCAATGCCCGGTCGCTGCCATGTCGTTCTCCCCCTCGCCCGCCTCTGATGTCATCTCCAGACCCCATCGGGCCTATCTCCTGGTCCCGTACACAACCCCTCGTCTCCGTATCTCACCCACGGAACTTTCGACGCACACTAGAATCCCCGTGTCAAACAAACGCACTTCTCACTCCAACAACCCATGTGTCCAGACCTGTCTCTTTCTCCTGCTATCGTATCAAGTGCAGGCATCACCACCACCGCTCATTTCATCTCATCATATCATACCTCTCTCTCGCAGTAGGCAGTCTGGCTTCCTCGGATTTCGTGGACGAAACAACGATCGGTTCGTTCATTCCAGCAGTACCCAGGGTCCTTTTCATTCAGTCCCTCTCCGCGGAATAACAGACCCGCGTGGCACACTCTTCCCGCGTGCAACATACGCGCTCGTACACATTCGGACGCGGTCAACTTACGGCTTCCAGTCCCAACTGTCAACAATCAACAAATGACGGTATCCAGGCGCCCCATTGGGCCGTCCATTCCTTCCTATCCATTCTGAGGACCTACCCTCCGATTGCGATTCTGATTCAAGGGTTTCAATCGTACCCTGAGCTTCCCAGCTGAAGATTGCATACCCATACCCTTACCCAAGGGACCTATGGTAACGCCAACACGGACGTTAACGTTAACGTCACGGAGACCCTCGCCTGAGTCGCCCCCAGTCGACTCAACCTCGGACGTCCAGAGGAGCACCCTCCTTCCGCCTCGCATTATCCCACGTCCCTCCCTCGCAGGCGTCCCACTGCCACCCTCCGTCTCCGTTCGGCGTCGACCCACTCAGCTCCCCGTCCCCGTCCGAGCATCCCGCGCGAAGTTTGCTGATTCGTGAAGGTGCGAACTTCAGGCCCTGGTCTCCGTCTTCGCCCGTGCGCAGCGGAAATGGGATCGTCATGTCGATGACGGTAATGACGTCCAAGTACGACGCGTCGGCTGTCGGTGCTTGCTCCTACTGCTCTCGCGGTGGCGTCGTCTCGCCCAGCTCCTATCCACCCAGGCGCTTTTATAGAGTGCGACCCTGCCCTGCCCTGCCTGCCGCTCTAAAAATTGTCGCGCCTCGAATAGAACGGGGTCAAGCACCCCGCACGTCCGTCGATGACAGTTACACTTGCCGTTCTAAATTGTACCTAGGACTGCATTTGCTTCCGCGCCCACTGCCGCTGCCGCTGCCGCAAGATGCGATGCGGTGCGAGTGCTCGGCCTCCGTCTAGCATGGGCTCGGCACTGTCGGGCGCCTATCCCTCCCAGCCCCTAGCCGCTTAGCCGCCTAGTTGCCTATCCCGCCTAGCCGCCTGCACCCGAAGACGTCATTCGTCAGGAGTCGCCCAGCGCTCGCCATTTTCCCTTCTCACTGCCAGCGATCTTCTTCGCGCTGATTAAAATGGGATAAATGGGGTATTATTAGCCCAGCGCCGATCCTTCGCGCCCCCCTGAGGCATGAAGCTTCGCTCCTTCGTACCCGACGGGCGTCTACTTGGGTTCTTTCGTTGAGCTGGGCGTCAGGGTGTCAGTGCGCCGCACGGCGGGCGCTCCTGTCCTCGCTTTCACCGTCCCATCTCTCTTGCGCTCATCTACGTGCGTTATGCGCCCCCGAGCCCGCGGCACCCCAGTCACGCGCACGCACCATAACGCTCCTCCACCTGACAAGTCGCAATCCGCGCGTTGCACTTAACCAGAGCAGGACCCAGACCCACCACCCATGATGATAACGTACCCCATACCAGCTCCTCGCGGAGTGGCGGCGGCAAGTGGGCCTTGCACATGCAACAGGCTGTCGATCTACTGCCCGCCTGTCCGTGTCCGTGTCCACCGTCCACTGTCAATGGTCATCACACCGTCATGTGTGATATCAGCGGCTCAGCGGCCCAACGGCTCACGGTATACGGCGTTCGACTCGAGCTAGCTTTATGGAGACTAAGCCCACGCGCACATGCACCCACTCTCTATGAAATCCGTGGAAGGAAGGAAGGGGGGACCTGGGTACTCGAGGCTCATGGACGGACAAAATGGGAACGGGCTTGGGCTTGGGCTTGGAGTTGGAGTTGGGAGGATTTATTCCCGTCCTCCGCCGGCGCCTTGCCCTGCGGACCTACGTATACGGTACAAGTAAGTACTGGTTGGTTGCTGGCAGAGCGGCTCTCGTGTCGTGAGTGTCGTGAGCGTCGTGAGTCCCCATCTCCTCTCGTTCTTGAATCCTGAATCCAGCCTTCCTTCCTTCCTCCGTCCTTCCTGTCTTCCTATCGTTTTGGCCTTTCGGCCTTTGGGTGTTCTGCGTTCTGGGGTGCTATCTGATTCTGACTCGGTGACTCGCCTCAACTGACGGACGGATGATTGCAGGGTTTCCTACTCTACCCTAACCCACCTACCTCCATCCCAGGCCCAAGCCAAGCCCAAGCCCAACGACCTAAATCCCAGGACTGAGGAGCCTGAGGAGAGAAGCTCCTCACCCGGGGAATCCTGTCAATTAGACTCATCTCGCCATGCCATACGGGGCCGGGTAAGCACCGACGACCGTGGCGTGCACGGTCAGTGGGCCGTCAATGCACATGCCGTCTCCGGAGGTAGAGAATGCTACCTCGCTTGGCCTATCCCTCCATTCAAGTTTGACCGTCGAAGTAGGATCCTCGACGCGTGGAAGTCCGGTCGGTCCGTCATTCCGTCGAACCTCGAACCTCGAAGCGCGAATGTCGCCCTTTCTTTTCCCACTCGAGGACCGAGCAGGGATGTACCGGGGTTGGGTGGCGAGGTCAGATTAATTGTCGATAAGTTAGGAAACGGCAAACCGAGACGAGAGGTCGCTCTCTGAAGGCTAATATCCGTGTCGTAATGTAATTTCTCTTTCTCCTTCTGCTGATATGCTGCTTGATACTTACTGGTGCTTCTTCGGCGGCTAGGAGGAACTCGAACTTGGAGATACAAGGAAATACGGAGAACCCCGACAACTATCGTGCACACTGCCCACTATGTCTTATCTCGCCCACGCTGCGAGCTGCCTGTTCTCCGTAGTGTCGCGGATGGAGGTCTAAGGTACAAGGCTTGCCGCGAAGGGTGTAGGTGTGTAAGGCAAGTGTCTCTTAGCCCGTCTCTAGTCCCTGCCCGTGTGTTGATAGCTTCGCACAAACTTCCATCATCAGCTTCGATCCAACACTTGGCCCGTTCAAATTTCCCAATTTCACTCCTTCACTCCCTCACCTTGCCTCGTTCCAGATAGGTGAATCACGAACCGACACGACATAACTCAAATACGCCTCGATCGTTTTTCCCTCTTGGCGCTACATACCTTGCAGCACACCACGCCTCTCCGTACACACCAGGGAATAGTCAGGGACCAAGAAGCACGAAGCGCAAGACTTGAAGAACCGACATGAACCGTCTCGTAACGGCAGGCCGTCTTCTGGTCTCTAGTCGCTGTCATTCCCAACGTCAGTGTCGTAACCCCCCTCCTTCCTTCCTTCCTTCCTTTCCTTCTGTCAAATTTTCCATGTTCAAAGTTCGACGGAGAGAAAGTTTTCAAGCGCACGAACAGACGCCGCCCTGGTCTAGAACCTAGAACCCAGCGAAGCGCCCATCGGATGGCATTATATCGTCCAAAATCCGGATCCCCATCTGTCAAAGACAGAGACAAGACAGCGTAGGTTCCGGCGACGTTTACGTCTGGCGTACGAGGCTCGGCATCGGCCTCGTTGCTCCCCCCAATCCCTTGCGTCCATGTGGAAGTTGCCATTGGGAGATGGAAGATGAGAGATGAAGAGATAAGCGCGTGGATAATTATTGGGTTCGGGGCTATTGGGCAGTGGGCAATTGGGCAGTGGGCTTTTGTGCGTATCTTAATTGCTTGATTCATTGGTTGATTGGTGCGTGTGCGCGTTCCTTCCATGTTCCTTCCAGGTCGCCCATGTTCCGGGGTGGTTTCTCTACGTCTGCGTTTGCATCTCCTTGATTTCATTTGCGACGCGTGTTTGCCGTTTGTTGGATGTCTCCGAACGTCGAGAGAATTTTCAATTGACAGAAGACTCAGGGAACGCAAAGGAACCCTACCTAAAGCTCCCAACTCCGAACCCGGATTCCAGAGAAGCTACCCTGTAAGCTCCAGTTTTTCATTGCGAGATCCTCGCATCAACGCGGTGACCTTCGTCCACTGATGGGATCCCACTCGTAGAATTCGAACGGAATACAACAGAACAGACATCGGATTTCCAAACACCAACCTGATAACAAAGGCGAGATAGAAGGGTGAAGATGAAGGCAGACTAGTACGACGAATGCGTTATGAAGGTATGCCAAGAAGACGCCCATATCGTCATCTTGGAAGTTTCTGAAGCTTGAATGTGATGTAGCAGCAGGGCGGTTGATTCGAACTGCGACCTGGGAACTATCGGAAGGAAGTTTCGGAATAAAATGCTCCGGTGAGTGTTCCCTCGTTTACCCGCGTCGCCCACAGGAGGTTGCCTTTCAGGTTTCAGCGCGTGTTCTCCCGACGAAAAGAAAGGACGACGAACATGAACAAGTTCTGACGCCCAAACTCAATTCCGAACTCTTGTCTTCCATCGCATCGCTAGTCTTGGAAATGGATCAGTTTTGATATATGGATTGGTGGTCGCGAACGGCAAGACGTCGCAAAACCCCAACTTCGTTATTCTGGTCCAGCGTCAACGATGGGCGTTTGAGATAAGATTCGCTTCTCATTCGTGTACGCGGGGGCCGGGACGTATAGGAGACGGAAGGCTACCGAAATATCAGCGCAGTGCGATGTCTTGGTGTTCTGTATGTATCACAAGAGGTCACAGACGTCTCTTATTTCTGTGGCACGCCTATCGGGTGCATACAATAAAAATAACACCCTATTTCCCACTCAGCGAATTTCCTCTATTTAAAAATTAAGCGAGCGGAATGACGTCCCCAAGCGTGAGTACCTCGAAATAAACAGCTGGGTATCGAAATACTCCTTCTTACCTAGAACCATCTCCTCCAATATAATTAACCGACCGTTCGCTCGCTCACTAATTCCTTCTTCATCCATTCAATTGAACGAGATGCCGCGGTTGGCTATCCGTTACATCCTTATCAACGGCATAACCACACCCCAGCATGAGTCGTGATCACGCCTCCTCACCTGAGGCCCTTCAGCCACTCCAGCCAATTCTCCTCTCCCACAGAACAAGCTTCTGTCAGTCCCATCCAATCAACTCGCGAGGATTCCACCCATCGGACAAGCGTGAGCGCAGAATCACAGGCTTCCACATGCTTGGGCTTCGCTACGAGCGCTGGAGGGTGTTTAAGGTTTCCGCCTGGATGGTGCAGTGAATCACCCAAGGACAGGACAAGGACAAAGGGTCGCTAAGCAAATGGAGAGACGTGAGTTCGCCGTGTCCTCCTGCTCGACCGTCAGCGCCCAAAGTGGGTCCATTGGATCGCTGCTACTCTACTTGGAGGTGGCATTGCTCCCCTTGACGGATAGGGATAAGGGGATAGAGACGAACAAACAGAACGACAGGACAGCCTCCGGATTCAGGTAGACGTGCACAGCAAGGGCCGCGCGACGTCCACGTCCCCACCCACGTCAATTACAAGTAAATTTATCCTAATTACAGAAAAAGACTGCACTGCATGCTTGCCATCGCGCTGACGAAGCTTCGCTGATATTGATATCCCAACCCAACGGAGACTTGAGATCCAATCCATGGGCACCCCATTTACCCTCTCGACTCCCCCGAGGCGCGCGAATCCTTGACTTCGGTCTGATGAAGGATCGCCTCCCATCTCCATCTCCCGTCTCCAGCCTTAGCGCGCTTGGCCCTTGCCTGATATTATTATTATCGCTGCTTTAAATTTACAATTGGCGCGTGCGCCACACTCTACAGGCCGCTGAGCTTCGCCTCCGCTGCTGCTAACCTCATCCCTCGTCATCCAGGTGTAGACGAGGCCGAGGGTTCTCACGCAGCGCAGCACAGTCTCAACACGCCACGGCGCGCACGGCACGGGGACATAATTTGTGATCCCACGTCTGAAAACCTCCAAGTTACCAACAGGGGATACGGGTAAACATGGAGTTAATATTCACGGTGGTGACGTTCCCGGATGCGTGGCGCTCGGCTGGGAACGGCGACCCTGCACGGCTGTTGATGGGTTGCACGGATGTTGGGAAGTACAGAAGGCTGGAGCTATTTCAGGTTCGGCTGTTAATCTATTTTTGCGGTGAATTTGTCGCTTATGCGCCTAGAGGGTATTTATGGATCATAAAAGTGTAGGACGAGAGGAGTGTGATGGGGCGACCTCGAGAGCGTCGTACTTCAATTGGGCAGCACAGCCAGAGTATACGAGACGCGTTTTGACGGCCTGTACTCACGAACACACTCGTCAATTCAGTATGCTCGCTTAGCTGTCGGATTCAGCGAATACGCAGGATTCCTAAGAAGCTCGGATGCAGTGCCGTTTGGTGAGACGCAGAGAGAGGATTGAGAAGGTTCATATCACGGACAAACATATCGACATAGTGTTCCTCTTAACTCTCAAATGGCGAAGCAGCTGACCTGGCTGACAAGGCAGCCTTTCTTCGGATGACCTCGTCCAGCTGTAAACTTAGGTTCCTTCCTCCAATTTTCCGAAATTTGACCTAGGGTTCCCACAGTGCTAAGGAACTCGTGTATTTCCCTGAAAATTCTTTTTACTACACTAACCGGACAGGGTGATTATTTCGGCTCTATGTAATATATCCTGCAAGACATACTCCCATTACGTTTCGAATCGACGAAAGCTGCATACGGAGCATGCATTGTGAGCATGGGACGATGTACACTTCTACTCCTCTCCTTTGTCTCTCCACTAGAAATTCCTCTGTTCCTGTTCCTGCTATATGTTTAGTATAATGCCCGTAGAATGCGTAGCCGAGACTTGAGCGGCTATGAATATCTGCTCTCAGTGAAATCTTAAATCGTATTAGTGTGTTATTTTTGGTTTGTTTATTAGCCGCCCCTCTTCGTCCTCATTTTGTTGACGGCAGGATGTAAGAAATTCAGGTGGGGTAAGGAGCGACGCAGCATCTTCTTTAACCTGACGAACGTATACTCAGAGTGCTATCTCTTGTCTGTCTCATCCCAGGAGAGAATTTTACTCTCACGTCGGCCTCAAATGCGAAATGAATGTCCCACAACCAGAGCAAAAACGTCATACGGCCGTCCAGGGTGCGTTCGCATGCCTCTGGGACTCTAACGGCCTATCTATCTGCCTTATGTCACAGCAGGCGTGGCTCCGGTCTCGTGTCATCATCTCAAGCTACCATCCTTGACAAAACTCCCGCGAACCCAAAACGTAGTGTTTCTACCCCCTGTGGTGGGCCTAGAGGCATTAAGAACTCACAAGACTTCGACGCTGCAGATTGACTTCCCAGTTGGATGGTCGTAGAGGGAAGAATTCGCCATTTAAAGGGCCATTCCCACCACAAATGATTAATAATTGAGACGAGGTATTCGCGACGAAGATTGAAGCCTTTCTGCCCAACTCGTCAAGTCCTGACTCTCTCTATAGTCATGCACGGCTGAATTCTGGATGGAATCTCCCACATTAGGTAGGTTGCTGTAGGAATTTTGGGACCGTCAAACACGAGCAACGTAGTTTGACAGGGAACAGCCCTCTCATCTAGTTGTGGCAAATCCACAAAGTCAGAACTTCTCAGCGACACTCTTCTCAGAAGTATGACACTGCTGCTCAGAGGACTTCCAGGACGTCTTGGTTGACCATCAATTACCTAGGGTATGATGTTGTCCGACTCCACTTCTGACTGGAAATGAAGTGATGGATCGAATGCTGATGCGCCGTTATCTAGAGTTCCGCCCACCCTGCTATCATCCCATGTTCTGACAAAGAACATTCGCAAGATTAAATAAATCCATACTCTATTTGGTCGGCGAGTAGCGAAAACGTAAGCGTCTAATATCCACGGTTCCGCTCTCCTTCACCACTACTTCCAAAAAGAGACGCGGAAGAGGCGCGGAAATAGGGCGACACCTGCACTCTGAGCAGCACGGATCGAAGCTTCTTACAAGCCCTCTATTTATCATCAAAACTCCCATGCATTCAGTGCTCTTTGACGGTCATCATGGGAATAATCGCCCTCTTCCTGGGTTTTCCTGCTGCGTATTCTCATGATTCCGTTCGCGTGGAGCTCTCTGCTGGTGCCATTTCCGTTTTCCCTTTTGTTGGTAATACAGAAGGAAAAACCTTCAGGGTGGGCATGAAGAAGAACTAAATCAGACCCTTGGTTGCCGATATCACATCAGCGGAAGCACAACTCCAATCGACGTTCGTAACTTGCGAATAACATAAGTGCCACCCCCGCCATTCATATTTGAAAAAAAGGAGGTTCAGAGCAGATGGGAGCGTAGAATATCGGCCATTGAAATATTGAAGTCCCTGTACTTCGACCCCAAGAGTCCTGGCCGTTTCAAGAACGGACTCGGGTAAGATCTTCGCGAAAGCAAGAGCATGGAATAAATTGCCTTCAAAGGGCGACAGAGCCTCGACTCCAAACCTCGAGCCCGGTGAACTCATAAGCAGCAACATGGTTCGAAGTTTGAACAGAATATGGGGAAGAGAATCTTGGGAGAATCTCTTGTATTTATAATCTTAGTCTCTCGATGTCGATATTTTGAAGCGCGTCATGAGCATTTGAGACTGGAGCGACTGGTGAGAATTAGCCTCTTACTTTCAGAGATCCCAGAGCCCGGACGTCTAGGTACAAATTTTTATACCCTAACTAGGTGGAATACGGTCGGGACCAGGAAACGGCGGTCAGTGGCGGAGTGAAAGGGGGAAGAAATGCGACCGAAGCCTCATACGGGAGAGTCCTAGACGAAACGCAAGAGTAGTTTACTCTCTCGTGCATGGGGAATTACAGGAATGAGTGTACAATATACAGAGCATCCGAGGATGGATTTGGGAAGGCCTCAGGCGCGCAGGCGATTCGTGGGAACAATCTAGTGATCCTGTTTAATTGACATCGATGACGGCCACCGAGCCTTGTTGAATACCGTCAAGTACACCAACAGTACTAGTGAGTATCGACTCTCAATTCCACTCGCATTCCTCATATCCAGATTTCAGATGACAACTGAGGTCGGAAGATCGCACATCCACAAGCTGCATGACGATCTCCTCTGGTGCATCTTCGCCTTGAACGCGGACATGACAGAGGATCCGTACAACTCAAGATCGGAACCATTATCCCAATGGAAACCACGGGCTATAACAAATATTCGCAACACCTCTCACGTCTGTCGCACCTGGCGTCAGCTAGTCCTTTCCTCCCCATCTCTCTGGGGCCGTCTCATCGACTTCAAGTACCTCACTCAACTTCCAGAGAACTGGCGAAACGAGATCATGGATCGCACAGGAGACGCGCCATTGGCTATCGTTGCGGAGGTCTATGAAGACGACACCGCTCATTTCGGCTTCTTCGTTGACCTTCTTCGTACGCAGTGGTCACGGATTGAAAGCCTCGAGGTCTATCTACACTGCGATAATCTCCATACAGCGAAGGGTGTGTTATCCCCTATATATCAAGTGTCAAAATCTTTGAGGTTCTTTCACCTATCGCTTTCACTTCCAGACGACGAATATATTCGACCATCGAAAATCAACCTGTTCGACAACGATGCTCCGAGGTTATCCTACTTTAGCTGTTCTTTCGGATTGGAAAGCTATTTCAATGCACCATGGCTCTCCCAACTACGCCATCTCGAAGTTAGAAGTCCGTATGATGAATCAATAAACCCTTCCTTTCTCCAGTGGCTCGAAAAGCTCCGGAGCCTACCCCAACTGGAGACGATCGAATTCTCTGGAGGAATATCCCACTCCTACGAAGGCTGGGAGTCCATTCCCGCCGTAGGGCTTCCACTCCTACGGTACATCAAGATACATGACAGATTGTTTCCGGCCGCCTTACTCTTGGACCGCATCGACTGCCCGTCTACGTGCGGAGTAAAGATAACGACGACCGACTACGATCCACCCACAACCCCCTTCGAGGTGTCCTTCATCCATCGTGTCATCGCGAAATATGCTGAACAATGGACCACTCACATGCGCCACCGAACCCAGCTCACATTTTCTATGATGTACAAGGCGTTCATGGCCAACCAGCACCCTCCAAATTATCTCACTCCAGCATGGCTTGTACCTGTCTTCCACGCCGATATTTACTGTGCTGCATGCGCCCAACTGCCCCTCATTCTTCCTTACCTCGAAGCATTCTCCAACTGCGATTTCACTCATATCACAACTCTTTCCCTATTTACTAATCTCTTCGAGGGGATGGAATTTGACAAGAACGTGGAGAAATTCCTTTATTCCCTTCCCAACATCGAAGTTATGGATACGCCGATGGAGAGTCTCGAACGGCTCATGAATCTCCCTGGGATCCTCGATGGAACATGCGAAGGCCCCGTTTTCCCAAAACTGCGGAAAGTGATACTGGACGATGAACGGGTCCTGGATCCCTCGGGAAAAGTGGACCGCGGAGCGAGGGTCGGAGCGGCGTTCTTCCTCTGGCGTATAGATGAAGGGATCCCAATCTGCGTCGTGGACATAACGGGGTGCCACAAACGGAAGGAGATGACCTATCTGGAAGATGTGGCGGGTCTCGAAGTCATCTGGACAGGTAAAGATGGAAATATAAATGGGTATGTATGCGGATCTGGTTCCTGGGATGAGCTGGACTTCGGGCAGGGAGTGAGGGAATGAGGACGGATTATCTATATCGCAATTCATTCGAGGTACTTCTCTCAATCATTGAAAGGACCTGGTTTTCAAGATGTTCTCCAGGGCATTCCGGCCGAAATATCCTATCTATTATTATTGGTCACGAATCTTGTGTTCTGTCGACTTCACCAACGTCATCCCGCATTATTTCTTCCACCACCTTCCATTCGAAAACTGTGCACAATCTCGATATCACAGATCTCGTTCCCCCTTTGTCGACTTTCAGTCGGACAGATGGCTTCTGGTTCGCCATCTCCTAGTTAGCCATACTTCGACTTGATCTTTCTTGGTAATTCTTTAGAGGTTCCTTCTACTCACAATTAAGACTGGGATTCTGAACACTGACAGATTTCTCCCTTGAAAGTTGATGTGACATCCTCGCCCTGCGCCATGCAGAAAAGTGGCCTCGAAGGGTCATTTTTTCGTCTGTGATTTGGATTCCCATTTTCTGTTCAACGACGGCACACGTAATTTCAGCTTCATGGAGTCCAACCAATCTCATTTCTTGTGCTCAATTGGTCAGTTGTGTGTGTTCTATGCCTGGGCCTCTAAGGTAGGGGGCGGTTCCCGGATCTCCTGCAAGTCCCTACGCAGCCGAGGGGCCACGAGAGATATTCAAATCGCTCAACAGCCCCGTCTCTATCTCGTACACCCACCCATGTATCCACAATTCCTTCCTTTGTGCTTCCGGATTCTGCCACGCATCTTGAATGACTTCCAGCTTGGACAAATTTTCTACTTGAGCCTTAACGTTCTCCTCAATGAGCAGCGACAGCGCCTCGTCTTTTGGAGCAGTCGAGATCCCGAGGGAGAAAGCGAGCTTCGTTAGCTGCTGTAGCCACTTGTTGATAGGATTATCCGGCGGGAGGGTAGGGACGGTCTGCAGGCAGCTGGAACCATTGTGAGCGCAGAAGGACGCTTCAGGAGAGGTGGCGGCAGCCAGAGATGCTGCAGCACCACCGCAGTTTGAGTGGCCAACGACGATGACTTATGCGTTACCCATGTTGGTCAATTTCGAGCTCAGTGGGCGGTTGGAAAAAGGGTAGTACGTACTGTGACGGACGTGCAAATGGTTGACAGCGTATTCGACGACGGATAAAGTGTTGTCGTCCTGCAGAGGAACTTGACTAGAAACGTCGACAAGTGGATCAATTTCGGCAAACTGACGAGAGAGAGAATGACGACTCTGAAGCACATACTTAGCGATGTTCCGATGAACGAAGATCTCCCCAGGTTGCGAGTTTGTGATGAGAGATTCCGGAACGCGAGAGTCGGCGCATCCGATCCACAATGTCTTCGATAACAGAATTAGGTCAACTTCCTTCCAAGACGAGGAAGAATCGACAAACATGAGGGGATTGTCCCGCAGCCATTTGCTCGAAGAAAGTCGGGTTCAACTTTCTATGTTCTTCTGCCCACGCTTGATTCGAGGAGAGCATCTTCTGGAGTGGAGACGAATCATAATCATCGTCTCGCTGGAGTCCTTGAGTCTGAGGCATAAGTGGCGTAAGGTTTCTGGGTCGAGGAAAAGTGGGGTCAAAGACGGTCAAGGGCACAAGAGTCTCAGAGGCTGCAGGAATGGCCGTCCGATTTATACGCCGCGATTGTGGCTTGAGGATAGCACGAACCTCAGCATGCCGCGACCTAGACATCCCGAGGGATCAAATCTGGCGGGTCCTGTTCTCGACCGGGGTTAAAAATAGCATGGTCAGCGTCTTTTCATAGACCACGACGGGAGGAGGTGATGGAGTCCACATCTATCTATTTTAAGAGTACCTTTACAGTTTTCACCGTACGGATACTTCAAGGTGGGTCGATAATGACGGCGTGGTGCAAATCCGTTTCTCGCCGGGTCCGAGTATCCGCTAACCAGATAAGGCCGGATGAATCCGTCGATACGGTGTGTTCAAATGCATGGTGGAGTTTGAGGATGGGAGTCGTGTTGCGGTTGGGGGATGGATACAGTGCAGAACCAGTCCAGATTTCTCGTTAAATTATCGAGAAGAAATGCGAGAAGACGAAGCCTCACATAGAAGAGGAGTCAAGGGCACACCGTCACAGGGATATCTCGAGTAGGAGCGTCCACAGCGGAAATCGTCTTCGCCACGGTCTAGCCAGCACTTCTACCAAAGTCTCCTTCTGTATGAAATCATCCCGTCAGCAACTCTCAGCGTTAAAGACCTTCCTAAACTTCGCTCCTTTCGCCCTCCGCGGATTAAGCATGGCCCCGCCGTGGTCCCCGAGCGTTAGGCCAGCACGGGGGCGTTGAGCTTGGAACAGCTTCAGTAAAAACCTTAATGTACTGCACCACCCACCTAGAGGGACCCTCAGTGAGTACCCGGACCGACCTCGATCTAAGTTGCGATTTGCGCGTCGACCGGCGCCATGCTGCTGATTTATTGTGATGCAGCGGTTGAGTTGATAGGTCTTGAGAAGGTCGAAGAGGACAGCGTGCTCGGGCTATGATAGACACGATCCTATCATAATGTACGGAGATCTTCAAATGCATCTGGGCGGGCGTGGTAGACATGTAAAGTGCGTAAATTTTCGAATGACGGGCAATTCGGGCCGTTAGTAGACCATTTGATCCGAATCTCACGGTTCTCCTAGTGCAAACATTTGGCAAAAATTTAGGAGAAGAAATTCATGAATAGAGATATGGAAATAGGAACGATACCACTTCAACATAAATCACTATCACGGAAACAAATGACTGCATTTTTTAAGGTTTTATTGGGTTCAGAACAGAAGTACAAATCTTTTGTGGGTTTCATGAATATAAGAATGGTTGAAAAGAGTCGATGGGGATCAAGAAACGAGGGAAGAGTATGTGTCGTTCGATACTCCGGAGGAAGAGCTGGCTGTTCATTAACATTGTCTGCTCTCTTTCCTACTTCATGATCCGAACTTGGGGTAACTGCCGCAGTCTTAAGCGGCAACGAAGACCCATTCCTGGCTCGATGAGGCGGCGGCGAGCTCGATCTAACGCAACTATTAGATAAAACAAAGGAGCGATTTAATTCATGAACTTACGTTGTTACCATTGAGTGCGAAGCGACGCTTAGAGGAATCGTTGGCAATAACCGGGCCCTTGTACGAATTGCTACCCTCATCCCTTGAACACAAAATTTAGTGATCAAGCGCTAACACGGGAGAAGTTCACGTACCATTCAACGTTGATGATCCACTCAACGCCACTAGTGGCACGTGTAACTGCCTGAGGGACCGCAGAGGAAGACAAATTGGTCAAGGCAAATCGGCCCGATGTGACATTGAGAGCCCTCATGATGCCATTACCAGAGATCAACCACTACGCACGGGAATATACTTTCAGCAAAAGAGCCATGGTATTGGTCAAAAAATACCGACCTGCTGGTCGGAAGATGTAGAGGGAGTGGAAACAAAAAGTTGCTGGCCATCGGTTCCAGGATTGACGACGTTGCGTGGGGTGTTCTCTGTAGTTTTCACATAGTAGACACCGGGAGGGAGAGCGAGGTGTTGGGTAGACATTGTGTTGGAGAGTTGTTGAGGAGTAGAGGAAGCTGCTTTCTAAGAGGCGAGTCTGAGGCTGGATACTCAGCACTGCTGCTCTTTTATATCTTTGGATACCCTTTGATCGTCTTGGGTCGGACTGGACGAAGGTCACGAGTCCAAATTTGCGTCCCGGACCTCTTCAGCCCATTCGGAGCTCTCCAGTCCCGATGTCGTTGAATGTGTAGCTTGGAGGACATAGGTTCTTTGTTCAGGTACCTCTTTTCTGAATCCGTGCTATGAGATTTGCCGGTGATCTTCATGACATGACACTTCTTCCGGTTCGCTAGATTCTCGTACTCTTTTATCTTCGTCTCTTTGTCTAGTAGAATATTTGGCCCTTTCCTGAAAGTGGAGGTGTCTTTCAGGTTGCGTGGTGTTTGGAATTTCGACCTCGTCTATTCACCTCCAGGACGATTATTCCGGGTGGGGGTAGAGACGAGAAGATTATAATCAGAGAGAATATAATAACGCCGAAACATGGCAGTGTGGAGTGTGAACAGAAAATATGTCTGAGACGGAGATTTTTAGACGCCGTGGACGCTCTTCCCGAAGCTTGACCCGTAAAGGAGACGGCATCGTGGTATGGGCAACTCAAAGACCTAAACCAACCACACATCTTTCTGATGGCCTTGATTAGATTGGGCAGAATTAGTTATTCCGTCATGTGAATCGCACGCGAGCTCTTTTCGTGCATCGTGGTTTCAATGTGGTGTGCCTAGAAAGGAAGTTTGAGTGACACATCAATCAGGTGCCACACTTCCCATACTTTGGCAGGCCGTTCCATTCAAGCTGCCTCGGCGAACTTTAATCCCTAACCAAACGAAACCAAAGTATGAGGGCTCCGAGACTCGTCATTTCGATGATCGCTAGTACTCTAAGGCCGACTAACCTCCAATGTGAGTTTTGATTCTAACACTGCACTTTCCCTAATGTTCGGCGCTTATGGTTTCAAACTGCCGAGTACCTGGGCATCGATTGACAATTTGTCAGACCCTTCTCAGGCTAAAAATTGACGTGATAATTCTCTTCTCTAGCCATATTTATCCGCATCGAGGCCAACGAGGAGAGAGCATGCACCGAAGGTAACCATAGCTGTATCGAGTTTAATATGAGAGCGAGAGACGACAGCTGTGCCGGACCACAGGAATGGAAGATCTCATCTGAACGCCTTTCACCCAGCTGTATGGGATGCGGGGCTTTCACCGTGAACCGGCTCCCGGAGATGGCGCAACGCATGGTCAGTTGGAGTAGGAAGGGGATGGCATGGTTGAAATTCGCCGAGGTAACGTCGAGAGATTATGGACGGGGAGTAGTTGATCCAGCACCATAATGTTTCTGGACCTTCCACCGAACATGTATCAAGGAGATTGCCTCACAAGGTTGCGAAATCAGAGCTGTGATGTGGAGAAGCAACCAAGTATCCCTTACCAAGTTGTCGTCAGAAGACATCTCCGCAGTAGTTGAAGTGCGACGAACGGGGGACGCCGACTGCATGCCGCTAAGCCCGCTATCATACAATTTCTGAAATTGTTCCGTATCAGGAGGTCCACGGGGGAAATTAGAGCAAGGTGAAAATAAAATAGAATATATGAGGCGAAGGGCGACCGCTAGACCTACGCATGTGGGTCGATGAAGTGGGAAATTCAAATATTGGCGTCTCGAAGGCTGCAGTGTCGAACCAGAAGTGGAACTTCGTTGCTGCTAAGCAGAAAACTCTGAACGAAGTTCCCGCATCGTAACGTCAGTCCTAGCTGAACGGCAGGCAAACTAATCAATGAATAAGCCCATCGGGACGACCGGCCCGGAGAATTTGATAGATCTAGAACTTCCACGCTCTTCCTCTTCCACATCCATTTCTTAACGCCCCGAAGTTCATGACGGCCGACGTCATGCCTGCTGGGATTCTTTCATCCTTCAGCGGCGTTGCACATACGCATCGAGGCGCTCCTCACAGACAAGATTATAGAAGAATACGAGGCGAACACATGGTTCGTCTTTTGCATCTCTTCTCCATACAACTAATTTTAGCGTGCATTCACCGTCAAGTGCCCTACTCCACATTCCCAAGGACATTGAAGTGATTCAAATGAGCTCCCACCAGCTCTCACCGGCACCCGAAATCGCTACAGCAAACTCTCCAATGACGACGAAGCACCTCTACGACACCACCGATGGCCTCGTACTCAAAGCACTTCGTGGATTTGTAGCAATGAGTCCGGGGGTATGCCTGTACGTTTCTCTTTCTCTCGGTCCAGCTGCCATACTTACCATCCGTCTCCCTCAAAGACACGAAGGTTCCAAGACAGTGTTCCTCCCACCTTCTTCCCATCGTCCCGAACAACGTGTGGCAGTCATCGCAGGAGGAGGCGCAGGCCACGAACCCGCACATGCTGGCTACGTCGGAAGCGGCATGCTGAGTGCCGCTGTATGTGGGGAAGTCTTTGCTAGTCCCAGTGCGAAGCAAATCGGGTGTGCTATCGCCCTTGCCAGCGCAGGAGAGCGATGTGGAGATGGCGAAGAAACATCAGCCCAAGACTTGAAGACAGGAAGGGATGTGTTGGTCGTCATCAACAACTACACCGGAGACAGACTCAACTTCGGCCTAGCCATCGAGAAAGCCAGGGTTTTGCTGGCCCCTCTCCGGATCGACAGCGTCGTCGTCGCAGACGATGTCTCACGCCTACCCTTATTCCTGCCCACTTCTGAACCCAACAACACAACCGAGCCTCTAGTCGGCGCACGGGGCCTCGCAGCCAACATCCTCGTGTGCAAGCTCCTTGGCGCTCTCGCCTTCGCTGGCACCCCCCTCTCTGTCGTGAAGTCTTTCGGCGACGCTGTAGTGGCACACCTAGCAACAGTCGGCGTCGGATTGGAGCATTGCCACATTCCAGGACACAACATCCCTTCCGGCGGAAATGGCCTCGGAGCAAAGGAATGTGAAGTCGGTCTGGGGCTCCACAACGAAGCTGGAATGAAGCGGAGGGCTCTGGATCGGGTGGAGACGTTGGTGGATGAGATGGTTGGGATGATCTTGGGTTCGACAGAAGGCGGATTCGTTCGCGCCCGCAAGTCGGAGGAGGCCGAAGAAGAGAAGGATGAAGTCGTTCTGTTCGTGAATAACCTTGGTGGGATGTCGCAGCTTGAGATGGGGGCTCTTGTGGACGACGTTCCCACCCGCCTTGGTATGTGTTTGCCTTACTCCATCTCTCACTCTTCAACTCAAATGATTTCTCGAGAGCAGCTCGGTCCCGAATCTACCCCCGTCGTATCTATTCTTCGTCCTACATGACCTCCCTGAACGCACCTGGCTTCTCCATCTCTCTACTCAACGTCTCCGCCGTCCAAAAAACCTACCATACTCAAATTCACAACAACACCAGAGTGGCATCTGAATTCGCAAGATATCCTCTCATCGATCTCTACGATCTACTCGATGCACCCACCGACGCCCCTTTATGGCTTGGTGTCCGTGCTCACTGGCCATCGACACCTACACCCGTCGACTTCAAGGCCGACATCGCAGATCGTATCCTCGGAAGCCTTCAACCTACCCAGCTGGCGAATGTTGAGCCAGAGGAAAGACGGAGAAGGTCAGGAGATGGGATCACCAAAGCTGCTCTTCGCGGCGCCTGCAAGAACGTTCTGGCCGTCGAGACGGAGCTGACCGCCTTCGATACGATCGTTGGCGATGGTGATTGCGGAGCTACGTTCGCCCGTGGCGCAAAAGGTTCGTTTCGTTTCAGGCTTTCTTCTCTTCATCCTTCTTATAGCTTATCATCGTTCTGTGACTATAGCTCTCTTAAAAGCCTTAGACGAGAACCAAATCACTCTCGACTCAGAAGGTCTAGGCGATACCGTTCAAGAAATTGCCGACCTTCTGGAAGATTCCATGTGTGGTACTATCGGAGCTCGTACGTCGGCGTACCCTCTCCTCCGACTCCTGACTGATTACACCCGTCAGTGTTTGCCATCTTCTTGACAGCTCTCTCCTCGTCACTTCGCACTGTTAGCCCTACCCAAGGCTCTACCAACGCCATCGAAACGTGGTCCACCGCTTTGTCACAAGCTCTATCTGCCCTCTCGGCCTACACGCCCGCCAGGCCAGGCGATCGTACGATCGTCGATGCCATCTACCCTTTCGTGAACGCTCTCTCGGCCTCGGCCTCCAGCACCGGATCGACCTCATCGGTACAAGAGGTCCTCGTTCATTCGGTCGCTCAGGCACGTGAAGGCGCTGAGAGGACGCGTGGGATGAAAGCAAGACTCGGGCGGGCGGCATATCTTAGTGGCACGGATGCAAGTCGAGGGGGTGGTGGACAGGAACTTTGGCCGCCAGATCCGGGCGCTTGGGGCGTCGCTGCGATCTTGGAAGGACTTGTAGATGGGTTGCGTGGAAGACTCGAGCAAGATGGAGGGGGTGATGCTGTCGGGCCGAAGGTGTCGAATTGAGCATGCCTGCGCGATGGGACGTATGATTCCAAATTCTGCGTACAAAAATATGAATTAAAATGTTTTATTGATTCCAAGTCCTGCAGAGGGAATCTACGACCTGGAAGAAAATGTCCGGAAGTCAATTCGAAAGCGAAGAAAAGAAGTGAACGTGATAGTGACGAGTGGGGGTCATGTTGAAGGAAAATTCATTCGAACATACAGTTGCTCTTGCTGTCGACTACTCCGCGTAATGCACCCTTGAAGACTCGATATGCTGCGAAGTATGGCTGGATCGATCAAAGGCTGGCCCTGACTCGTATAGTATCCGATGCTGTATCAGCAGCTACTCACGGACGAGAGTAAGTTGTCGCTTTAGCTTGACGTCGTTCTAACACGAATGTCTCCTTTTCTTGACGTGATAGCCAGGTAATCATCTGAGGAAATTCGTCGCGTTTGTTGGAAGAACGCCAACCTTCTTTTGCAAAGTCGATCTGCAGACCCGAGTTCCCTGCGAGTTCCTCCATTCAGAGAATCGGAGCCGCGTAAGGCCGTAATATTTGATATTCATGAGCTCTGTCCTCTACCGTCTGGCCATATTGCTTCTTGTCTGTTCGTCCTGGCGCTAAACTCTGTTCATAACTCCAGCGCCAGTCACTACCGTGCTGAGGCAGCAGCCATGCGAACCCTTTCAGTCCGCTATGGTTTCAATCCTCTACCCAGGTCACCGTGCCACGGACTGCGACATCAAGCCACACTTCCGTACACTTACCCTGTACCCGAGGTCTATCAGTGGTCGCTTTCACAACATCCGCACTGTCAGGGGGAAACTGCTCATTTGCCTTTCTTTATGACACCTGCCGATCGTCCGACGAACACTGGGTATTGTGTACAACAAACAGCGTCATATCGAATACCAATCTCACAAGCAAGGCGCCCAGAACGAGGCTTCTTTCGTACGCGGACCTGACTTTGGATCCGGCGTCAGAAGGTCCCATTTGTTTCGCATACACAATGACAGAAAATTGGCCTCGATCTCGCAGGCGGCAAGTGCGGATCTCGAGATAACTTCTGGTAAGCACGATCTCCATCGATTACTCGCGTATGCAAGAAGCGGCTCCGAGTCAGTGTAATGTTCGCGCCCGGATGGAAAGCCGTGAGAGTCTGACGTCGATGTCGCGCGGACCGTCATGGAGATTCGTTATGATTAGACCCTCGTCCCCGGAACTCCCTCTATCAGGAAGTGCCCTAACATATCCCCGGCATATTATGCTTGATTTCGAGTTCAACATGACGCCAAGTTTCTCAAAAGGACCTCGTCGGCACCCGTTGTGATGGGAAATCCCTTTCTGAGTGCGGTCGATCAGCTCATCAGTTGATAGGTCTCTTTCTTCGTTCTCGCATTCACCACAGGAGTCGCAGCAGGTCAAACCAGCAATATGTCGAACGAAGAAACTCGTACTGCACCGTATTCGTTGAATGTGGTCATCGTGGGCGGCGGCGTTGCCGGACTCTCAACGGCATTCTGCCTCGGGAAAGCTGGCCATAAGATCACTCTCGTTGAAGGTGCTGAGCTCCTCGGAGAGATAGGAGCTGGGATTCAAGTCGCACCGAGTGAGTTTTTAGGCCTTTCCAGCTACCAAATCTCACTTATAGCTTCTTTCTGCAGACATGTCACGTCTTCTCATTCGATGGGGCCTTCAAGATCGCTTGACTGAATTGGGTGTAAAGCCCCTTTCCGCGTCTTTTCGTCGATGTAAATGCCCGATTTCAATGTTAACCTCGACGATTAAAGATAATGGTTTATCATTCTAGATGAGAACGATGAACAAGTCGGATTCAACATCATCGGCAAGCGATTCGAGCAAGATCATCGTTCTCCGTACTATCACCTTCACGTATGTCATGTATGGCACCACTGAGGACTTTGAGGCCTAACAGTCAATTTAGAGGGCCGACCTCGTTGAGATGATTTACGAAATAGCGAAACCTTTTCTCACAGTCAAGCACGCGAAAGTTACCTCCGTCTCGCCTGGGCCATCGGCTTCAGTTATTCTCGAATCCGGAGAAGTCATTGAGGCTGATCTGGTTATTGGAGCTGACGGAATAAAGAGCGTCGTACGAAAGGCTATCGTCGAGGGACCCGATCGTCCAGTTCCTACTGGCGATGTCGCTTATCGGGCCTTGATCCCGACAGACAAGTTGCTTGAAGACCCGGAACTGCGCTCGCTCGTCGAAAATCCGCAAGTCACTTGTTGGATGGGGCCTGGACGGCACATCGTCGGGTACTGCGTAGTGCGTATACCTTCCTTGGCCCTTAAGTGCAGACTCAATCAACTAAAATGACCCCCCGAACAGAGAGGGCGGAAACAGTATAATCTAGTTATGATTCGCCCTGACGTAGAGTCAGAAGAATCTTGGGTCGCTACTGCGGACAGCAAAGAGGTCAGAGAGACGTATGAAGGATGGAATAGTCGGTAATCCTCCTTTCTCTTCATTCATGTGCGGAAGTCTTCTTATGCAGAGGTTTGTCTAGGGTCACTAAGTTACTGGGTTTCATCCAAGTCGCTTTGAAATCCAAGTTGGTTGTGCGCCCGCCCTTGGACACATGGATTGATCCAAGCGGAAGAATTGCCCTTCTCGGCGACTCTTGCCATTCTATGTTGGTGGGTGCTTGCACTCTGCACCATTGAGGAAGAAGACTGACCGAATTTAAGCCTTATCTCGCCCAAGGAGCTGCGATGGCGGTAAGTTCATATTTGTCTGTGCATCATCCAAGCCCACGTTCTTAACCGTACTTTTTAAGATCGAGGATGCAGCTGTTCTCGGCAATATCTTCTCCCAAATCTCTCATGCGTCTCAGATCGGCTCGTTCCTGAAGGGATACCAGGATTTGCGACTCCCTCGAGCTACCGGCACCCAGAAGGCGTCTCAGGCTAACCAGCTGCGTTTCCACCTTCCGGATGGCCCGGGCCAGCAGGCTCGAGATGCGGCGATGAAAGAAGCTATGAAAGAAACACTGCTGGAAGAGTCAGCCACCGGCTCCGGTGGTGCACAATCGGGCAACCGTAGCGTCGTAGTGGATCACAACAAACAGCTCGCGAGCTTGCAATTCGACTACGATGCGGACGCAGCGGTAAAGAAGTGGCGCGAAAACGAGGGGATGATCTATTAGACAATGGTTCCCTTGTTTGCTCAGTTTGATGAACACATATTAGTAGAGTGTTTTACTCTTGGATTACAGATTTTTTTGGACTTGGTCTGTCGGAGCATTCTAAAGCTTGGAGCCCATTTTATGCAGTTCATTTGGGCATATCCCACTTTTTTGCTCTTATCCAAATCTAAGTTTATTAAGCTCAACCATTCACTACTTTGGCGCGTCTCTTTGCTCTCTAATTCTTCTCCATGTCCGAGGAAGGTTGCAGAACGTAATATTTACCATATGTGGCAATTGTGGCTCCGCCGCCTAGACCCGGAGGATTCTCACCACTAGCGTTCAGCACGACTGACTTGAGCGTGATACCTTGAACATAAAAAATCTATCATATAGTTAAAAGTTACAACTCGAAGGCGACAACTTGTGAGGATTTCAAACCGACGGCGCTCACACTACAACTCTAATGTAATCTATCAACATGCCGAACCAAATGAAGAAACCAAAGTAGGCGTTTCTTGCGAGGTTCCCTAAGATAAATGATGCTATTAAGCCTCCGTGTCTTTATCAAGCGGTCGATTGGCCAACTTACGTTTACAGGTGCTGGGATCCATCGGATCAATTATGATAATCTGCCATGCCAGTTCTATTGTCGTCCCGCCCGCAATGATAGCTACCAACGGGAGGCTATGATTGTTAGCACGGAGAGCGACGGTGAAGAGAGCTGTAAATGCGAAGGCGAATAAAGACAGGTACGGCTTAATAGCGCTCTGGAGGGCGATGGCCGACGACCCGACTCCGATCCTCAAGTCGTCTTTGCGGTCCTGACAGGCATATATGGTGTCTGTATCCCTGCGTTTCAGCTACAAGCGATATGATAAAGTTTGGGCTTACCATAGAACATAGTCCACCTACGATCAATCGGGGATGGTTTAGTGGGGTATAATGGTGACAGTGCAGGGTGCTCACGCCCAAAGCCCAGCCATAAGTGGGGCTATCACACCTTGGTTGATTGGACCGTAGATGCTTGTCCAGGCGAGTACTACTCCCCAGTTCATCTGCGAAAAAGAATAGCTGGGCATAGAATAGAACGTGTAGACGAATGGGTACTCACTGCAATCCCAAGCCACGCCTGGGGGAACGGTGTGACCCTCTTCATTAATGGGTACATGAACATTCTGGTAATCGGTTGGCAGAGTCCTTCGCCCATCGACGAACACGCACAATGGAAAGGCGATCAGCCTATAATATAATCTAGCCGAGTTCTCAGCACCGACAGAGCCTGCAGAAAGATTGCATGAACTCACAAATTCCTATCGGGGGTCCATAAGAGCGCAAAGTAGACCAATGATTGAAACACAAGGAAGAGTCCCGCGCCGAAAAGAGAAATCTTGCCACTCGCAAGAGGACGATCTTTAGTACGTTCTACATTACGACCACATGGATTAGCGAAATACTATTGTGAAGAAACACGTATGATAATTCTTACCGACTTCCCGGTCATATCGATAGTCACACATGTCGTTTATGGTGCAGCCGAGGCTTCTGGCCACAAAGGACCAGACGAAAAGCTTGAAAAACCAGTCTATGTATTCCTCGAGTTGGAGCTTCCGAGCATAGGCGGCCACTGTGAGGCCATAGACTAGATTATCTTGTCAAATTGAGCATAAAAGTGGCTACAGCGATAACCGACTATGCGGGAGGAATATGAGCAGTGTTCCTCCGGGCTATATTTGTCAATGGTCAGCATTGGATGTAGATTGCTCGCGTGGCTCTGCGGACGCACCTTCGAGAAACGGATGAGGTCTAGGTAGTTTTGCGTCGTGCTGTAGATGGTTATACTCTTTTTCTCTGGCATATTTCTTGTGGGGGTGATTTTTTGCCTTCCACCTTATGAACACTCCAGTTTGATTGCAATCACTCAGAGTTAAACACCTTCATTCGGTTCAGCAAAAAGGGGTGGATAAGAGTTGGATAAGACCATTAAGAACGGCCCCTTGCCAGAGTCCCAAAAGGAACATAAAACCCGAATTTCCCCAGAAATATGTTAAAATGAGAGGATAATTGAGAGTTCAAACGTTCAAGTCTCACATAATCCCCGACTTGGCAAACCAGGTCCCGGAATAAACCTCTGCGACGAGACTGTTGATCGGAATTGAGGGTGACAGTGCAATTTCCGTTGAGCAAACTGCCCTGACAGCCGTGACAACCTAGGAGAATGCAGATTCTGCATCCTTCGCGGTGCTAACATCTCCTCACGCAATCCTCACGATACGCGTGGTTGAACGTTGGACGCCCGCCCAGCCAGAAGTATCGCACCCCGATTTGGATAGATCAACGATGCCACGTGATCCTACGTTGAACTTTCGTTATCCGTTCTCAAGCTCTCAAGCTTCTTGCTCCCTCCTCCGGCGTACATCCTTAGGCTGCTATAGCTGATTGGCGCGTGTAACTGGAGGAAAGGTACACCAGGGTACGCCTTCCGTCTTCATCTGATACATGCAATATGTAATCAATGTTCCAATCTCAGATCGGCAACAGCAACTCCTCTGACGCCCAACTCGCGGTCGTGTTACGCGGAGCTTCCTAAAATACCACTGACATACTTGGACATACAGAAGTGTCAATTTAGACTATGAAACTAAGCCTGTTATTCTGGAGCCTGCAATAACGTCGGTTGCAGCCTAGGCCATGCACCTCCTTTTGTGTTGTTTTGCTAAAGGAATAATCGGTTCGATTCCTCTCATTTTGAGAAGCCCTACCCTGGCTAACCTACACAATTTTATGTTTCAGGGAAGCTACACCAAGTTCACCATTGTATTTCGACTTAGGCTTTTCGCTCTTCCCGAAGTGCAGTCGGCTAATGGCCATGGTCGTGGGCCTCCGGTTTCCAGCCTATGCTCCATTCGTCGTCATCTTTCAATCTGAGTACACCGATGCGTCATTTGAGCCGAATTTTTGTAGGGGTGCTGTGCATATTTACTCTGCTCAACCCGTCCTTTGCGTCTCGTCCCCCCTTTGATTTCCGCTTGTTTCGGTCAACTGGACGCCACGAGTGCGATTTGGAGCTCATGTCAGACAAACAAAAGTGAGGAAACGCGTTCAAACACCAGAACTTATGGGTTTGGTCCCAATCCGGGAATCCAGTGACTCCTCGTAGCTTATCCCCTCTTCCAGAGAACGCCATCGCTCAAATCCACCTTTACGGAAGTCACTTTTCTCTCGGTATGTGCTTCGCCCCCGCGCATACTCCACTGAGCCTCCCCGGATAGCAGAGAGCAATCAACACGGAGGACGTGGTCAGGCGCACAGAGTCGTAATGTTAAGCATCTGAGATCCTTTCCTCTCTTCTCCAGACGGTTCTGAACTCGTCACGAAACACAACATCCGCCACCAAAGGTCCTCGGCCCAAAAAATTACTACCAATGGCGCTTTCGCATCAGCGGATATGACTAAATAACTCAGCTCTCGTTCACAAAAACCTAGCCAACTTTTAATCAACTCTTCATCATCCCCACCGTTTCGTGGAGAGCGCATCCGTTCGATATCCAGCATGGCAGAACGTGTTCCTCTCATCCTCGGGTCTGTTTTCATTGCACTGTTAGCCTACAAGTTTTTCAGACCAAAGAAGGCCTTCGGCGACGTACCTGGTCCAGTTCCGCGCTCGTGGCTTTTTGGTGGGCCTCCTATTTTCCCGCGACCCGTCAATTTATCTGATGCGGAGTATGTCCTCCCGTGCCAGGCAACATGCTCGAACTTCAACTCTACTCGCCTTACGGGAAGCACGAGTTTGAGTGGCAGAAGCAGTACGGGCCCATTTACAGCATCAAAGGCTGCATCGGGGTAACGTCTCCTGTCTCTTTAGACGTGTCCTTCGCGGTAACGCCGGACTTTATATATAGGAGGACCGTCTCATGGTGTCTGACACCACTGCTCTGCGGGCCATCTTGGCAGACACCGGCGACTTCAGAAAATCTCCCCAGCACCAGCTCGTAAACAAGGAAGTCTTCGGTGATGGAAGCGTGCTTTACGTTCATGGTACAAGCTTCATGTTGTCCAAATAATTTTCGTCTGACCATCATTTGTTGGCTAGGTGAACAGCATCGGCGTATCCGCGCTGTGATGAACCCAGCGTTTTCGACCGCGGCTATTAGAGCGCGCGTGCACTCTCTCCAGGCATGCGCACAACACGTGAGAATCGACCTTTCTTCCCTATGAGCCCTTCTAATCGCCCAGATTGACAGCTATCAGAAAAATGGGAAGCACGCCTCGAATTTCAGTCTACGGCAGGCATATTCGATATCTTCCAGGATATACACGAAACGACTCTCAGCGGAGTTACTGACGGTGAGGCGGCTGGCCCTAATCTTCGTGCTAGAATTAACGGTTATGAAAGCTGTTATGGGCTACGACGTTACGAATGACAAGGAGTTTACCAAAGCTTACAAGAATCTCGTGTAAGTCTTCCTCCCTACAGATTAATCCAAGATATCAGCCTTATACTCTTTTGACCTCCCAGAATTACTGGCGCGAAGAGGTCAAAAATAGCGATCGTCGCACATGCGGTGCTTCTGGCTCTTCCACCGTGGGCCATCGACGTCCTCAAGCTCTTCCCACCGAGGGACTTTAAAACGTTGCTTAAGCACTGCAATGCGTCCCAGAGACGTGCCGATATCTTCTTGAAGAGCCAGATCGAGGCGAGGAAACTCGGAATAGAGCCAGAGAACGACCTTTTTAACGTGATGCGTAAGATGATGTCCCGTATTTTGATATTGGAGCCCCATTTAAGACATCGACAAGTCGACTCCCATAAGGCCTCCGCAGAAGTTTCGTTGCAGGAAATTAAGGATCAATTCGGCACCATCACCGTCGCAGGTGAGGATACGACTGTAAGTGATGCTGGCTGTGGTCGAACTCTCCAACTGACGTTCGAATTACTCGTAGGCCAACTCCATCGTGTGGGCTCTTTACCAGCTCGCCAAGAATCTGGACTATCAAAAGAAAATACGCGAAGAATTCGTTGAAGCCCAGGAGAACAAGAGGAAGGAAGGACTCGAATTCTACGAGAGCTTGCCCTTCCTCAATGCCCTGGTCAAGGCGTGTTTGCGCCTCTGCTATGTTCGTCCGTATTAGCTCACAGTATTATCAGGAAACTCTAAGGTTCTATAGCATGGTCCCTTACTCGGAACGTATTGCGATCAAGGACACCGTCATCCCCGTCTCTCAGCCTATTACCACGCGAAGCGGGCAGCAGATCACCCAAATTCCGGTCAAGAAAGGGCAGTACGTCCAAATTGCTATAAGCTCCTACCATCGGTAAGCTTCTTCCGTCTCTTCTTTCCCATTCCGCACTGACAACGCAAAGTCTGTCCTCCCTCTGGGGCCCCGATGCTGAGGAATTCAACCCCATGCGCTGGCTTGATGGCAGGACGAAGCTCGGAGATAAAGCCCTGGGGCCATATGCCAATCTGTGCGTCTCTCATGACCTAATAGCGCCCGCGCAGCTGAGATCTCGGGTTTGTCTTCCTAGGCTTACGTTCTTGGGTGGTCCCCGTACTTGCCTTGGGTAAGTAGCTTCTTCTGGCAGGCATGACTATTCACTCTGATCTCGCACCTACGTAGATGGCGTTTCGCGTACGTACTTGATCTACTCTTCAAATTCAGATTTGGTTACTGATGAGCTACTTATAGCGTTCTCGAGATGCAGATCGTGCTGTGCGAGCTCGTCAGGAAGTTCAATCTTGCATTGCCCGAGAATTCCACTATTGAGACTGCGCACGCGATCTCTTTGGTTCCCATCCACAATCGCGGCGACGTGGAGCTCCTGTTGTGCATCTCATGCGCCTAGAATTACCTGCGCCGCTATATTTCTCTCATAAATTTATCTTGTACACCTAGAATGTCGTTCGTTCGAAATAGCAAGCATGTTGTGTCATCGTATCTCGCTTCAGAGTCTTACAGAAGAACGAGAAGAAATCTATTTGTCTTTCAGCGCCGACAAAATACAACATGGGAGGGAATTAGAGACACTATTTCTAAATTCCGGTCTGATAGAACACAATCCAGCATACCTATGTGTCTTCGACGAGGTCCGTGTAACGAAGAGGTCTCTGCTCTTGACCAGCTTGGAAACCCCTTCCTCAAATCATAAGCCCTACAGGGCATCCAGGTAAGAGGCACCAGGACCCGCACTTGAAGCGCGGGGTAACGGTCGGCGATAACTACACCACCCCCGAGAGACGCGACGAATGAAGTGTTCGATCTACCACCGTTAGCTATACTTACTACAAAGGCAGGGATGAGGAACGTACGACGAGAGGTCCTTGATCACGACTCCCGATGCTGGGAGAGGCCGATATCTCGTTGCTGAGGTTGAGCCGGCCGTTTGTCGAGTAAGCGAGCGATCTGCACGAGTCGTTGGAGTGTCGTGATGAGGATCGCGAGTGGTGGACGTAGACGGCGGCGATGCCCAGCCGTCGTTGGAGGTCGCGGGATGCATTGTCGAGCTTTTTCTTACACTCAAGGCCGGACTCGTCGAGATGAACGGCTGAGAGTAGGTGAGGATCCGATCGGTGAATAATTGACACGGACTTCTCCTGTCCATGGTATGAACAGTTGAGCGCACTATAGTAGGAACGAGAAAAGCCGCTCGAGTCCACTTACAGGGTCTATGCCACGAGTTTCACCCGCAAGCTCCGTGGTAAGGGTAGACGCCGTTCAACAGTTGGGGGCCGAAGGGATAGGTTCGTGTTCATTGTTGAGGAGGAAAGGAAAACTTGAAGCTGCATGAGGGCCATGAGGTGAAGCTCAAGTCCAGGGAAACAAACAGCCCCGGATCTAGAGAAACACAATAAGCGCGAAGAGCAGAGGTGAGGTGGGGGTTTATAAGAGCAATGCGTTGAGATCGCAAGGAGTACGAGGAATGAAGAGAACGCGGCTTGAGGGTAAGAGAAAGCAGACTCACCAGAATTCGTCGGACGTCCTCCTCGACAACGGGAGCCCTTCAACCTTCGTTCCTCAGTCTTCAGGGTGCCACCACGTAGATTCCAAAGTCTCGGGATACAGACATGTTGGCGGGATGCAGGTCAGTCTAGGGCCATTGTTGCTGAAGGAGTAGCTCGACCGGATATTGGTTGATCGCTGAGGCCTAAGGGTTATTCAGTGCTGCAGATGAAAGGACCGAACTACGTAACGCACGTTTGGGTGAGTCCAGCGGCTTCAGCTACGATGTGGTTCGGTAGTTTGCGACTTAAAAGAGGACCTGCAGACGGACGAAGGGTTGAACGAGAGACAACAGAAGGGGACCAGAGGACCGAGGCGGACAATAGTAAAGGAAGGGAGGGAGGAGTGCGCAGAAGAGTGGGAGGAATGCGACGAAGAGTGGGAGGAGTGCGTAGAAGAGTGGGAGGAGTGCGTAGAAGAGAGGAAGACGTTTAGGGAGGGATGGAAGATTGAGAGATGTCGGCAGGCGAGACCGCAGAAGAAATAGGTCGGGAGAAAGCAGTGACGAACCAAGGGGAATAGTACGAATGCAATAGACCCTTGGCAACATGTATACACATAGTGTGTCGCGCCGCGAATGGAGGAGGGGATCGGGATGCAGGAAGGCGTACCGACGTCGGGGTTGAAGTTATAGGGCGAGGAGGGCATACCCGATGGCGGGCAGCACGCTCAGCGCACTGTCAGAGCCGTGTCAGGCAGGCCCGACGGGAGGAGAAAGATGGACGGACCTACCTTTAGGACGGCATCGCCATGAGCGAGTTGGGCATGTACGTGTAATGCCAGCCAGAGAGAGAGGAGAGGCGGCGCATAAGGAGGTCACACCAAGAGTCGAAAATGGTCTTTCATGAAAAATCGCTGGAATTGGCCTCAGGGCGGCATGCTCAAACCTAAGCCGCTGGGCACAATAACGACTTAATATTTACCTGTGATCAGCGAACTTAAGGAAGGGAGCACAAAATCGTTGGAATCACGTCCCTGACGTATAACAGCCATCCTGAAACTGCGTAAAGTATCTCCGCTAGTACACATCGATAGTTTGAAACATGTAGTCGGTGGTGAAACGAGGCCTGATGCATGATGTGCGACGTCTGCTTCGTCCATCGATAGCAAGTGCGGTTAAGCTCAAAAAGCACCATAAATTCCTCTACCAACGCCACCAGCCAATTCAAATGTACCTCGTCTACAATATGACTACTTAACTGGAACGAAGTTCCACTCCTGGTTCGACGACGCAGCAGCAAGCTCAATCTGATATCGCCGACGGTTAAGGTTCGGCTCCAAGATTGACGAAGAGGAATACAACTTACGTTGTTCCCGTTGAGCGCAAAACGACGCTTGGAGGAGTCGTTGGCCATGATCGGCCCCAGGTAGGAGTTGCTCGCATCGTCCCTAGACGCTCATCGTTAATTTTGACAGGAGAGAGGGTGATAAAAGCTCATACCATTCGACGTTTATGCTCCACTGGACGCTGCTGGTGCTGCGAATAACAGCCTGAGGGACCAAGGCCAAATTCAAGTTGGCCAGAGAGAATCTTCCAGAGGTGACGTTCATGGCCCGCATAGTGCCATCCCCGGAGATCAACCACTGAGTAAGGAATTGATGAGAAGGATAATATGATGCGCTACGATTTCTCTCACCTGCTGGGATGGGTCAGGCGACGGGGTGCCTACGAAGAGCTGTTGGTTGTCGGCGCCGGGGCTGACGACGTTGCGGCCAGTGCCGTCCGTGGTCTTGATGTAGTAAAGACCGGGAGGAAGCGCGAAGCGTCTGACTGCCATTGAGTTCGAATGAAGCTGGGTACTGGGAGGAAACGTGTAGAGAGGCGACTCTGAGGATTCTGAATGGCACTAACCATGATTTATATCCACCACAAGATCTTCTGTCCTCTACAGCTGGCTCTGTGTTTCAGGTTCGGAATTCATGTCTTCCGTGTTGTACCGTCGTTTTTTGTTTATTTTTCACCGGATTGAATTTCCGCCGGAGACCCCGTGGTACTGGACACCCTGTGCATTGTAGTCTTTTCGAGAAAGAGATACACGGGGAATGGAGGCACACATGCCTCTCACGAAATTGGAGCCAGCCGTTGCTGCTCGTTCGAAAGCTCCTAACACAGATGACGTAGCTGAAGATCTTCCATTCTCCCCATCATGCTGGGTCAACTCCCACGTTCGGCTGGGCGCGTCATGCGACCATCGGAGCACGTTTTCCTCCGCTATCTCTTTGTGAACTGAGCGCCACGGCACGGATACGATCATCTGTGATTAATGTTGTCGGAGGAGACGTAAAGATCCGTTTTCAGCCTTTACGAGGTTGAAGTACTAGCGGAGGTTCATAAGCGCTCATACCGGAAGATCCCGCTGGGTTTGAAACGATAGGCGCCTAACGTCATCGAGCATTGCGCGTTCGACTCGAGCCCAAGTTAAACTTTTGTGAGAGTCGGTGCACAACACTTCATGGAAATATCACCTTAATCTTCTCACTCAACTAGGTGGAGCTCCCGCTTAAAGGCTTTGGATATGTTTGATCAGGTCTTTAAGTTCGCCGAGGCAGCTTGAATGGAACAGCCTGTCAATGTATGGCAAGTGTGGCACCTGATTGATCTATCAGTATGATTTCCTTTTTAGGATCGCCAAACTGACCCTTAATTCTGGCATATGATAGTCACTCCGATTCACGAGAATCTGTGGGGGCTTCTAGTATATCCCGCCGTCCAAATCCATCTCGTTGTTCTAAGTCTGCGATAGAAGTACTAACGGTGTTAGGAGCCTCCGCATCAAGTATATTCCCTTCTTCCATTACAGACTCCCATATGCCATCGCATGCCGCCAGATATTTCTCTCCCTTCTTGAAGGCACAGCGAACCATGTTAATATTGTCCCGGCTGTGCGGAATTTACGGAACGACATCTATTCAGAAAGGTAAACATGCACTTCGAGTCCGTGTGTCATAAGACATGCGGAAGCGTAATCACCCCGACTTCATGTCATTGTGGTGCTCGTGTTTGGGATTACGCTTTAGTGAGAAATTAAGAAGTACGGGTCTTCCGGTTCATTTCAGCTGCTTACATTACCTAAATAAAGCTTCTTAAGTTGAACATAACTCAAGTTCTTGGCTGACGCAGGATGATAATGTGAGACCGATGAGATGGTAATGGTAAGTAGATGGGATTCAAGTCGGAAGCATGAACGATGAGACGAAGTGAACAGTCAAGCCGCCACCTCGGATGAACGTAGATACTACAGAACGAGGGAAGCATGCAGTCAGCGATTAAAGATCTTATGTTTCTGGGGACATCCTTTGTTCTGGGTTTGACTATGTTCACTATCACGCAGGAAAAGGTGCGTGTACTTCACTCCGAAATTAAGACATACTGAAGAAAGCAGCTCGGTACTTATGACTTCCGAAGGAACAAACAAGCCCCCCGTGAATTATTCGAGCTACCTCTAATCATGACGCTGCCACAGTGCCCAAGACAGCATATTGGATGTGATAGAAGTGCCTGGAATGTGAAGGCGCGAAATGGAGAACATCTCACGATAGCGGTAAAGCGGATCCTCGTGCCACCGGAGTAGAGCTTCTTGGTCTAATCTCTTGTGAATATTGGGTGAAGGATCCAGTCTCTCCACAATATCCATTCAGGGACATCGGGTCTGCTGGGCTCCGGACGAGATGACGCAATACGGGGACACTGCTCGCCGGCGTAAAGTTATCCAGCAGTATAAAATGGTCGAGAGGACGACTCTCAATCCCCAGAGTCGCCTCTCCAACTTCAACGACCAGCATCTCATCCATTTCTTAAACCTTCAAACACCATGTCTACCCAACGCTTCGCTCTTCCCCCCGGTGTCTACTACATCCAGACCACAGAGGCTACTGCCCGCAACGTTGCTAACCCCAGCGGCGACGGTCAGCAGCTCTTCGTTGCCACGCCGTCTGGTGGCGCCGAGCAGCAGGCAAGTCTTTTATCTTCAGTATGATAGCCTCCCTCTTACTAACTTTACCGACCGCAGTGGTTGATCTCCGGCAACGGCATCATCAGGGCCCTCAACGTCAACTCTGGCCGGTTCGCCTTGACCAATCTGGCCTCGTCCGCCGTCCCTCAGGCCGTTACCCGCGCCACGAGCGGTGTCGAGTGGATCATCAACGTTGAATGGTTCGCGTACTGACTCTATTCTCGTACGGCATAACTAACAACTGGATTCCAGGGACCAGGGGAGCAACACCTTCAAGGGTCCCATTCTCGCCAACGATTCTTCCAAGCGCCGCTTCTCTCTCAACGGGAACAACGTAGGTAATTTTCTAAAGGCTCAATTTCTTGTCTGATTTGTAAATATTTTAGATCGAGCTGGCCGCTGCATCCTCTAGCCAGGAATGGGTCTTCGTCGCTGCCTAATAGCACCCATGAAGCGCGGAACAGGACGTCAGGCAGACGTGTCGTCGGCGGATTGTCATCCGCGTCAAGCCAAGCGGCGCTGGATGATTCAAATTTTCCCGTTTCCTGTTCCCTGTTGCCGTTTTCAATTCTTTTTCCTAAACAAAAAATCGAAAAAATATTTCTAGTCCTTCCGATAACCCATTAAAACTTAAAAAAATCGTTGTACTTTTACCTCCAATGATACGCGTTTGTCGCCTTTGACCGGTGTCTCCGTTGCCAGCAGTCGCACATCCAGAAGCTCAAAATCACTGCACATAGATATGTGAGAGACTTACACGCAACTTGGTAGAGAGACCGGTGTAGAAGGTCGGGAGAGAGGAGGTGCGCCTTGCATTCCATGGCACCTTGTCCGCCTGCAAATAAAGGGCAGACACAGTCCGAGAGCAGGGATTGAAAGCATAGCCTACAGTACGGAAAGCACGAGAAATCGGAGGACCAGCAGTGGTGAGGAAAGTAAAACGACAAGGTAATATGCACGAGCATCGAAAGGACTAAGTACGGCCGAGGTCGACGCCCAGTATGCCTAGCTCCAGCGCGAAAGGGTGACGACATATGAGATCTTATCCTGCTCTTCTCTTATCTTATCTCATCTTCACACGCCACCTCGTCTGCTCGGTCTCCAACGAGGTTCTTCGCTTTGTTTACCAAGGTACACCAGTGTGACTTATTTGACTCTTCCCTCAGTCTTTTTGTCCCTGGATGAAGGTAAATGCCTCGCTGGACACCGGCAAAGCATGCCTGCTCCTTTTGCCTCCTCACTGTGCACGTACGTATGTACGATTGCACCTCTCTTTACTTCGCCTACTTAATCTAGTCCACAGTTCGCCACCTCATCCACGGCCTTGCACAGCCGGAAGATCGACCTCTCTTGCCTGAAACCTTGCCGCCGACACCCAGTAAGCCTCAGTGCAGGAACCCCTCGGACGATATCAGGCTTTTTCTCTATGTGCAGGACGACCTATTCACCAGGAACTCGGAGAGGGCAGTCGCTGGCGAGACGAAGATACTTGATAGGAGACTTCTACGGTGCAGGTACGCCGCCGCCCCAACCCAAGGTGCGATAAATCCTGATCTGAATATTTTACCAGGTACACATGGAAATCACGAGCGACAAATGAGCCGCTATTCATGCTACTCGTTGAGTGAAACCGACGTGGTTACTCTGGTCTGCAAAGCCCAGCTTTGCATGTCCGACGGGAAAGGAAGCGTCTCGTCCTCGTTCGGGACTCTCTATTCCGATGATGACGAGGACAAGAGCATCGACTACCTCGCCATCCAAGGCAGCTGAATCCGCGGGCTCGATATCTACGAGGCTCACCTCAAGCTCGAGATGGAGGGCAGATAGTCAGCTTGGTGCTCCTGCTAGATCCTGGGACGGATGTGTCGCGATAGAAAGGTGCGCGGTTCGATAGCACGTCTTTCACATCGACTCATGGATGCATGACACCGCAGTCCGGACCCAACTTTTTCATAGCGGAGGAGTACGATGCTTCTTCGCCTGGTCGTAAGGTGGCGGCCGAGTAGCACGCATTATCTGCACCTCTCGAAGCCAGACCAAGCAACGACGTGCGTTCGGGCATGGGTTGGCAGAGAGTCACATATCCTCGATGTCCGGACTGGAAAGGAGGAGCGGTTATTTTATATGGTGGTGGATCTGGATATGTCGGAAGGGCGGCGCATGCACTGCGAGAGGCATCGTACGTTCATGTTCGTCTCATCCTTCACCGTGGATTTCACTCATCCTACGTCGCTAGCGAACCGCAATATCACGCGCTGGAGGCTTGGTCAGTCGATTGGATGCTGTCATCTGCACTGAGAAAGATTTGAGAGGAGAGTTCTTTCGGAGGCGTTGTCCAATCCTGTCCTGCTGAGTGAGTTCACCATTTTTCTTTCGCGCCATCGACGCTAATCATTAGATTGCTGGTATAGTTCGCAGCCCCAACCATGAAAGACCTTCGATCAACCACATCAGCCCCAAGTGTCGGCCATCGCCCCCATGCTCATCCCCAGAGCCATCCTGTCACATTTTCTCTCGCCTGTCCGCCGTCTGTACTCCTTCTCCATTCAATGCTACAACATACACCGGCGGCGGCTCCTGGTCACCCGTACCGTCCTGGTTCCCATTCGCATTCCGAGCGACCTGCGCCTCGACGTGGTGAAGATGCATCTGGAGCGCGTTGAGCTGCACCTGAATCCCCTGCTGCACCTCGTACGAGATCGTTGATGGGTACGACGAGCTCGATGTGGACGGAGAGACTGCTGTGGCAGCAGTGCTATTGCTCGCCCTCAGGCCGTATTTTGCCTTCTTCTCGCTCATCTTTGACGAGGCTAAGGTCGTTGTCGTCGCGGCGCTAGTAGGAAGGAGGAAGGGGTAGGGCTGCGTGCCGGGCCCATTCTGAAGTCCAGTGGTGTTGATTATTGGGTTCGGCCTGCCCTGCGCATCGACGTTGAAGGCTTCAATCTTCTCGTGTTCGGCAGGTTGCCTCATGCGGCGACGGCGTCGCAAGAACAAACACAGCCCGAGGATGAGGAGGAGGCCGAGAAGGCTGCACAATACAGCGACAACGATAGTTACCGGATTGGAGGAGGAGGATTGTGCTGTGGATTGCGATGAGAGATCGGAGGGTACCGGGCCTTCCGTTGACGAGGAGACGCCGGTCACAATGGCCTGGACCTGCGACCCCTCGACGGCGGTGGTTGGAATTGTCGGCGAAGTGGACGTTGGGCTTTCGGAGGTCGATGCAGATTGGGTGGAAGTCTGCGTTCCGGAAGGTGGGGGCCCGAAGCTTGACACGCCAGGACATCCTGGCCAGAAGCAAGGACGCCCACTAATCGGAAGATCGCTGGGTCTGAGTCGAGAGCGTCGGAATGGACTGCGAATAAAAGTGGACAAAGCATACCGCTGCCTCCTCGCCAACCCTTCGTGAACGACTTGATCGCGTGTCCATTTCATATCTCTGGCGTTAAGAGTTTCGTATGGTAGGAGTGCTGAGTACTTGAGTGGCGATGAAATGATGTTTTCAGGAAGAGGATCTGTAGATCAGAGTGCTCGGACCTGGTCCCCTTCAATGCCAGAGAGAAAGTAATAGGTCGTGATCGTGGCTTCGCAGGCGGGAGGAGGACGAGTCGACAGACTCCTGGTTTAAAGAGTCTAAGCTTAAGAATTAAAGCAGTGCCCATGCATCATATGTTATTGTCCCTCGAACAAATGATGGACGTTCGCATCACGTCCTTCTCCCGTCGGGACCAAGTGGATACCTAGATGTCGTCGCATGATAGATTAATTTCCTTAGCACTCCCGCGTTTTAATATAAATCCAGTTCGGTCTGTGCGGAAACGGATGGCCTCAGAGACGCCTTTGCTGCACCGTGACAGCCCAGTACTAGTATGAAGGAAGAGGTGGAGTCTGGAGGCACGTCTGTGGAGAGTTCGAACACCGATTCGGCGGAAGAACTGGAGCAAATCCAGGAAGGACCAGTTGTGAAGGCACAGGACAACGTCGCCAAAGTTTCAGTGTGTGATATGAAACCCTTCAGTTTCTTGCCGTTGAAGTTGCAAGGGTCGCTTAGCATTTGCAAGTCAGATCATCTCAAACTTGAAGTAGAATTCACACACATTTGCCTCGATTTTCGACCAATTTATCGGCCTCAACGTGGTGCAGGTGCAAATACGTGCACTCACGCACTCGCGCCACACAGCGTCAGTATTCCCTTTTCGAGAAAATGCTTACTGCAAAGCTCAATGTAAGACAACACAATCTCAATGAAATATCAAATGCGAAGTTCTATGTATACATGATGTAGTAGACGAGGGTATCTGCAAAGGTTCATTCTCAGACTCCTGACCGACGCACTCCTCACGCAGCAGCAGCCTGGGCAGCCTGCGCAAGGGTGAGGAACTGGGTGATGAGGTCGACGACGGCCTCCTCGTACGTCTTGAACTTGAGCCCCAGTACCTTCTCGTCCTCGGATGAGTCGACGAGGCACTTGCGTTTGGGGACTGTGCCGCCGAGCGGGAACGCACCGCTCTCAATGACACCAGGGAAGTGCTTCTTGACGATTGTGATCGAGTCGTCCCAGGTAAACGCGTCGGGGTTGGCCGCCGTGTTGTACACGGGCACGATCTTGCGGACAGTGCCGGGGGCGATGTCGATGGTCAATGCCTTGATGTGCGATTGGGCGGCGTCGTCGATGTGGATGAAGACAGACTGGGTAGGGGGGAAGGGGAAGCCGAGAAGGGGTGCGAGAGGAACAATGTTCGAGCCGGAAACGAGCTCCTTCGACTCGGAGGCGAGTTCGAATCGCCCAATGGTCGTGCCGAGCAGGATGGAGGCGACAGTGAAGTGAGGCTTCCTCTCCTCAACGAACTTCTCAACGAGCTTGGCGGAAAGGACCTTGGAGATCACGTATGCGATGGGTCCAACAGCCTTCTCCGGGGCAGGACTGATGAGGTCCTTTGCGACCTCCGATTTCCCTAAGGATAGTACCAGGTAAGTTTAAATGTGTTAGTTATCGTTAACGATCGCTTACAGCTGAGGACCAGGTCAGAGTCGCCCTGGAGGCCTTCGCCGGTTAAGAGGGTGGTGATGGAGGAGGTGATGAGGACGCGCTTGACGGAGGGGGCCTTGGCTGCGGCTTCAAGGATGTTTTCAGTAAACTTGATGTTGCTCTTGGCGAATTCAGCAACGTCGATCGGGACATCGACGGAGGTGAACTGCTGTGCGGCGACATGGAGGATATAGGAGACACCGTTGGTGTGGGCATCGAAAGCACCGTCGACACTGAGATCGGGGATAACTGCGAATTCGACCTTATCCGCGTAAGGCGAGATGGATTTGGTTGCCTTGATCTTCGTGGCCTGCTCAGCCCTGCGGACGACGGCGCGAGCTCTGTAGCCAGCTTGGAGGGCCTCAGCGAGGACGCGGAAACCCACGTGTCCTGAAACGCCAGTGATCTATGGAATGGAGGAAATCGAAGGGTTAATATTTAGCGCTGGGATAGAGGCGCATCACGACGAACCAATAGAAGTTCTCCTGCCATTTCTTTTGTCGATTAGAGTTGGGTGGTGGTAGAAGGTTTTGACTGGGACTTCGAAGGATCTTAAATTTCAGGAGGGCGAAGGGCGTTCTTATATAGGTTCGACGAGTGGTCCGTTGGTGTCATTGTAATCCACGCCGATGAGTAAGGGCCAAGCGAAATTGGCGCAGAAGTTGGGGCGAAAGAGGAGTCGAGCAAAATTTTGGGCAGGCAATGATGACTGCGATGGCGTAAATGCCTGCAGGAAAGTCGTGTTGTTCTGATCATCAACTGTTGAGCCCCGAGTACCTTCATTTTTGCCCTAAACTCGCTCCATTCGGAGGTGGACGCGATCTTGTGCATCGGCTGACGGGCTGCGAGGCGCCCGAGGTTACGTCGGCGGTAGACGGTCGGGGAAGTTGCACCAGAATGACAGAGGTGCGGAGCCAGTGACCAACCGTTCCAATTCGTCCTTTTTCGTCCTTTATTCCCTCAGTCATCCGGGCCAAAGGGACGCTGACATCAGCGGGCACAGCCACCGCAGCCTCAATTGTTCGACAGTTGTTGCTCACAGCATTGTAAAGAGGATCGGTGGATAACAAGGTGGCGATCGACAGCGAGCGCTGTGTAAATTTGTCATGGTAAGCTAAAAATACAAACAAGTGCGTAAAAAACGCAACTGATTATCATCCAACGGTAAGTGGACCGTTCATACGCGGCAGCGTGTAGATCACTGGATGAAAAGAGGAGCTGTGGGGAATATCCTGAGCACCGAGGAAGACGCGATCACCAAATGAAACCATACCCGTGTATAACGGATGCCAGTGGCCCGTGTCGGGAGAATCAAGGTGAGACGTTGAAGAGTACTCGATTCAAACGTCTGTGATGAATTTTTGAGCATGAAAGAGGGTATAAGACAAGTGAGTCGTACGCATGATCGCAACCCGGAGTCCAAGACTTGACATCTTAATTCGAGCAGGAGTAGAACGGCGAGTTCAGGTCCCGCCAGCGACTGCATCCTTGTCCGCAAGTGTGGGCGCGGGCGGAAGTGAGTTTGAACGAGGGTTGAACAGCGTCTGCAGTGGTCTGATGTTTGTTGAACAAAATGGCGACTTGAAACCTCGACGACGCGGTGGAGAGATGCACGCGAAAGGATGGGCAGGACTTCCGGCAGGAGGCGTTCGCGGGAAGTGTATAGGTGGTTGAAATCGGGGAAAAAGGTTGGTTTCGCACGATAGGCTTGAAGGGAAGATTAGAACGCTGGACAAGTGGACGTAACTTAATCAACGTACCTCAGAGGAAAGGAGACCCACAACCACGCGTGCAACACTAGTTTAATCACCAACAATGGCCAAAAATTGGGTGGCAGATGGCAGACGGAAACATTGAAGGTAAGTACGTGGTGTGGACGTGGTAGGGCCGGGTGGATGAGTTTCTCATATGTTCAAATATTGAGTCGAAACGGGTGAAGGCGAATGCCCTGTGTACATCATAATATGAAAACGACGTGGAGAGGATGATAGATCTAGAGAAGGATATCAGAACGTGAAATGAGGATGACTTGGACGAACGGACATACCCCGCTGCCCACATTCCGCTTCATGCCCAGGACGACGCCGATCGGTCTACCAGCCACCACACGTAGACGTTCCATTCCGCGAGTCCGTGACGTTGAAACGTGAGTGCTGAGATTTCTGACATTCGTCCGAGCAAGCCTACTTACGGGGTGGAAGGATTCGTCAGGAAAGAGCAGAGAGATAAAGAGGGTAGGCACGCCTACGCACAGGAGCAGGCACCTCAGTATATTCCATGCGGTTTCGAGCTACCCTTGAATGCGAAACGTTGAATTGTCATCCCAACGGCGTCCGTCGTGCTTGCTGCAGGACCTGGAAGTTGGAAGTTGGAGCCTCGTAAAATGGGGAGCGAGGGTCGAACGACGAAGTCCCTGCGTATGAGGAGTGTACCTGAGATTCTGGAGGTCATCTGGTGGGTCTATATATCTCAAGGCAGATCGGCCTCGAAAACGAGTCTCAACGAGATCACATACCGGTGTTGCTGATGGTGGACGATCAGGAGAGAAAGCAAGCACTTGTTGTGCCTTGTTTGCACGGCAGCACAGCCACATCACAAACAACGGAAGATACTCGAGCGCTCGGGCTTCAACGACGACGATATATCAATCGCCATCGACAATAGACGCGATAAGCACGCTTGAGCCATGAAGCAACCGATTAAATCAAAATTCGCGATATTGGAGGGGGGAACCGTTCTCCTTAATTTCCTCACGTCGCTCATTGGGCTTTTTTTCCAGTACGGAGTCGCAGTTGGCGCCGGTGGACATTCACCTGCTTTCATTATGCTGGCGCGCTGGGGCTTTCTCTTAGGATTACCACTGACAAGACAACCCGTCGTTCCATGACTCCAATTATGATATTTGAAAGAAGTCGAGCTACATTACATTTACGCTTCTCCATCACTGCCACGATCCCTTCAATTTGGGAGCTAGAACTTAAACTTATAGAAGAATAAAGAGACATTTCCGAGAAGCTATCGTCGGTCATAAGGCTTTCTCCTATATTAAATGGGCGGGATTATGTAGCCCTGGAACGTTGTGAATAAGTGATACTCACCTCAACAGCACGGAGCAAGAGAATCCCTCTTCGCCGCGGTATCACAGATAACGCAGCCGGTTGGGACGCAACATTTAAAGTCTGAGCCTCCAGGGCAATATCCTGTTTCATTTTCATTAAGGCCCTTTACCGGAGCAAGAGATGAATGGGCAAGATGTACCGGAGACGGTGTAATTCGGTGGGCTAGTACAATCGGAGGTGAATTTGCACGAGCCCTTTCCTTGGTAGCACGGGGCTTTGGTGCAACACTTGACATTTTCGCGGTCGTATGGGCAGTACCCCGAGACGTACGTCCCACCTGAGTTGGTGCAGGAGGACGTCGTGACGCAAACGCCTGCACGGCCGGTGCATCGACCGTTTATGGCGGCGTTGACGAGGACTGCCGAAGAAAGGAAGAGGATGGTAGCTAGGCGCATGATATGTGTATGATGGTAGACGTTTGGTCCTGAACCCGGGGGAACTCGCCTGAAGTGACGCTTTATATATGCATCTTGAAAATAAAAATGCTGGATAATGAGTGATAATGATCAGAACGTCCGATGGAGGAATTTATGGGTCCACTTACGATCCTCCGCGGTGACTACCGCCTTGAATTTGAATTTGAATATGGTTTTGACGGACGCCACACCCTTCGTTTAGTTGGATACACCTCGCTCAGGTCTGGTCTGGGCATGCGTTGACTACGTACAGTGGGCGCACGGTGGCATTGGCATGCGTTTCTTCAAGGCGTATCCTCCTTGACAAGGATCGACCACTCGTGATTCGATATTCATCCTTCTCGATCGAAACCTGTGGAGTCTGGGTCTGATAGGTGACACTCCAGAAGTCAATGTGAAGCCCCGCCTTCATCCCAGCGTCGACTGCACCTTCATGAAGTATTGTGCCTGGTCGTAGAGGGGTACGAAGGCTGTCAGGTGGAAGATCTGTCTCCGTTCCCTTATCACAGTCGAGCCATCTTCCGACCCATGAGCATGATTACGGCTTGTAGGAACTTCTAGAGGGATACCGCTCAGGTTGGACGCACAGCTGTCATAAGTAGCGGAGTCACAGACCTAGAGGAATACAAGGAACTAGCCATGGATCTCACGAAACATTTCCAAGGGGTCCAGCCTCCTTGCCGCTGGTACTCCAGATAGCGAACTGAGACCACCAACTTTCGTTCCAGTAAGGTCCCCAGGTCTTTCGGCCCCCGCGTCATAAAAGAAATCAATCACAAAGCGCCAGGATACAAGGCATGGAGTTACGATAGTCATCTTCAATGTAGTCTCCTCCGAAACCCTCCACAGAGCGCCACCTTTCCCCTTCGAGTGCGTTAAAATCAGTAGACAGGTCGCGTCGCTACTGTTAGTCCGGTCACAAAACAGCAGTTGAGAATGGTATGAAGACGCTGGCGCGAACGAACGGCAAGGAGGCGACCAGACAAGAAGGTATCAAAGTACGAGCGGTTGCTCAGGGATTGAAGCATATTGTACCGGCTCCAGCTACTTGGAGCGCGTGCCTAAAGATGGAACGTCGGATACGGACCACAAGAGAATCGAAGAGGGATGGCGAAGGTCGCCTCTTGGTATATTCCAGCTCCTGTTGCGTGTTGGTAATGCCTATGAACCTGCGTTGAGGGCGTTGTTGAGACTGTTGCCGCCAAACAAGCCACGACGGGTCGTTCGCAAAGGGAGGAAAGGGCCCACATTAGCTCGGTCGTCGCTATGCAGGCTGTACGTCCGTCGCTGAGCGCGAGAAAATGTTCATGGTCTTGGTGTCGCAGTGTCTCTCGGATCTCCTCTCCATCGTTCCTAAAAGTCCGGCATCTCAAATTTCATCCCAGAATATCCTTCGAATATCCAAAGGCATAAGGGCATTGATGAAGGAAGCCATCGGATAGTGTCAAGATCGCCGACCTCCTGACGATCCGTATCTGCATTCGGGGACGATGTCAGAATTGAACAGGACGAAGGAAGTGCGAGCGCGCGCGACAGACCTTAGGCTCGTAGGCAGCCATTGCGGATACAGACTAGATGGCCTAAGGATGGCGCGAATTTGCTACGAGATGCTGAGAGAACTGGAGACGAAAGCTATCCTCGCCAGAACGTCCTTAAGTGCGAAAGGGAACGGGGAAGGTCTTAGGAGAGTAAAGTGGGGCTGCGACCTCAATGAGCGGGAATCGTCGATCGCGTCACAATGGACTGCCCGAAGGAACAGGGCTGAGCAGAAGTCGTAGTTGATGACGCAGAGCGGGCGTAAGAGACGCGGGCAGCACCTGAAATAGAATATATGTGATAGAGTTAGCACTGTGCATGAAAAGAGTGAAATTTGCAGTCCGAGAGATCGACATAAGTGGGTGTGGGAGGAAATTTGGCAGTCGGAAGTGGAAGAAGGTCAACAGGGGAAGATGAAGCCGTGAAACGAAAACAGTAGGGTAGAAGTTGACCAAGTGAAAGAGACAAGTACCATTCAGCAAGAGTACCCCATCCGTGGATTCGTTCCTTTCCGATGCCAGCCATTCAACGACTATGACGCTGCCCGAGTGCGGTTGGCCATTGAAGCCCGAGGTCCATTTGACTGCGCCCAGGAATCGTGCGCTCTTCGACGTCGTCATTTTACACAGAGACTCCGTCGCAGCAGTCAACGGCAAGTATTGCGTTGAGCTGGAGACTTGAGGCTGGTACGGGTGACGGCGAGGAGGTGCACCCCCCGAGAGTCAGGCTGAGGGACACGATGAAGGGTTGATACGAGGATTCCAGGACATATGCTGGCAGTCGGGGGCGTGTTGAAGCTTGAAGCTCATCGAGGTCGAGGTCGAAGTGGGACGAACGAGCATTGGGCACCGTTGCTGAGGATACGGGATAAATCGATAATCGATAATTGATAGAAGGCGAGCAAGTGAGCAAGTGAGCAAGTCGGGGGCTGAGCGTGGGAGAGAGCCGTCGAAATTTAGGGCCGGCTGCGCAGAGTCGGACGCTGACATAATAGTCCTGCCCTCCTTCGACCTGTCGACATCGTGCCGACTCATATGCGTTTCTCGTTTAACGGTTAAACGTTTAACGAAGACTTCGGTCACCCATATTCTCCCTATCGTCATGTACTCTTCAGAATCTTATGGCGTGTGCGTAGGACCCAATTAACCCGTGCCTCGTTACAACAGCCAGCCTGTCGATCTCTTCATACCCTGTCAGTGAACACACACAATATAGGCATTTCTTCACCAAATTCCCAGGTGTACCCACCTCATTCCTGTCCAGTTCCGAAGTCGATCATATAACCGAGCCTCTGGTCGGCGCACGGGCCTCACAGCCAACGTCTTCGTATGGAAGCTTCTGGGAACTCTCGCCTCCCTCTCGCCCCTTTCTCCGTCGTGAAGTCTCTCGGCGACGGCGTAACAGCCCATCCAGCAGCAATCTCGGTCGGATTGCAACATTGCCACATTCCAGGACACATCCTCCGTTCCGGCGGAAGTGTAACGGTCTCGGGGCGAAAGGATGCGAAGTCTGTCTGGGGCAGCCGCACAAGGAAGCTGGGTCAAACAGGAAGATGCTGAATCAAGCAGAGACGCTGGTGGATGAGATGATGGGCGCGAAGGATGGCGCATTCATTCGTGTCCGTGAGGGCATGTCAGAGGAGCATGTCGGAGGAGGTCGAAGGAGGCAAGGATAAGGTCGTTCTATTCGTGAACAACCTCGGTGGAATCTCTTAGGATGGAGGCTCTGCACGATGTTCTCGCCCGCCTCGGTGCGTCACAGCCCTTATTTCACCTTTCACTCGTCACCTCATTTCCTTCTTCGAGTATAGCCTACTCTCGAATCTAAACCTACCCGTATCGACGCCTCTGTCTACATGATCTCGCTCAATTCACCTGGCTTCTCGCTCTCGTCAGTTGGCGTGTCTGCCCCAACGAACCTAGCATGTTCGACTTTTGACCAATGTCGGTATCACTTCAGAATTCGCAAGCTAGGCCTTAGACGAGAATCGAATCGTCCTTGACTCGAGATACCTAGGCGACGCCGTCCAGGAAGTTGCCGACCTTCTGGTAGACTCCATGCGTGGTACCACTGGATCTCGTACGTCAACACACCGTCTCCTCTTCCGACTCCTGGCTGATTACACCCATCTGTATTTACCGTCTTTCTTCGCGGATCTCTCCTCTTTCCCTCGCATTGTCGGTGCTTTTCCTACCCAAAGCTCACTCTGCTCTCTCGGGCTACACGCCTGCCAGCTAGGCAATCGTACGATCGTCGACGTCCTACACTCGTCCGCAAACACTCTTCCGGCCTCAACCTCAAGCGCCGCGTCGGCCTCCTCAGCGCACGAGGGGCTTGTTCGCGCTGTTTACAGACACGCGAAGGTGCTGAGAAGACTCGGCGTACGAGAACGAGGCTCGTGCGTGCGGTGTATCTCAGCACGGATGGGATGTCAGGAAGTAAAAGGACAGAAACTCTGGGCGCCAGATCCGTTGGCATATCGTCTTTCCAAAATTGGATGCATATCGCAGCAACAGCGGAGGGGCGTGTCCCTCCATTCGTGCAGTCCTATGTCGATCCTTCGCCCACTCTCTCCATCGACCTCCTCCGTGATGACTTCGTACGTCGATATTACCTTCCACGTGTCTAACATTTCGAATTACTTTCTGACTGACTATTAGTTTGTAGATCCTCTGCGACTACAACCCAGTGTTGGGTCCTGAAACCACCGTTCCGGTCAACATTCCGGCCTACATCGTCCGGGCTCCTAGTGCTTTTTTTGTAGTGCTTCGATGATGAATGATAATTCCCATTGGGCTCGTGACGATTCATGTAATAGATACGAGATAGAAAGGCACAAAGTCGAGGTTGGAGCGAGTCTACCAGTCTTGCAAGTCATCAAGACTACTTCAAACCGAATCTTCATCTCCGGAAACACTTTTGTCGGGATGATACTTTCCAGAGGAAACGATGCTACGTCATCGCCTTCTCATCGCTGATGGAACTGAAGTCTTTATTCAAGGTGATGCTTCCTCCTTTGGATGACGGCTTCACAGGTGCGATTAGCATTCACCGTATAGCTCGCAGAATAAAACTGATGGAATATACCTTTAATTCAACCGTCGTGGATGCTGAGTGCTCTAACGGTCCGGCAGCAGCAAAAGTCGAGAAGTCGGACAAGTGTACGTTGACGTCTTTGTCCCGGATGGCGATTCTCGAATTCAAAATGAACCGTTCTCTTTAGCATCGTGAGCAAGAAAGATAGGATTGCTCTGACCTAGCGAGCAACGAGTTGGCGTATACTGCGGCGAAGGTCAGCTAGTTGGAATTACTACGATACGATGGGGCTCACAATTCCCAACCACCTGGAAGATAGCGAGGAAATAGAGCTGCGGCTCCGAGCTCCTTCAAGTTGAGTAACAGTTACCTCGTGATCAAACCCATGTTGACCGTGTAGAACACGATGTAGTTGATGATTGAATTCGTCCTAAAGAAGGGAAGAAATTAACCGCTATCATCGGGAACGCGAGCACCGTCCATGACGGTTACCTAGCCAATCCAGAACGACTCCTATTAAGCCAGTAGATGAGCGACAGGGAGATTGTCCAATCGGCGGCCATCGCGAGGGACAGCCCTGCGGTACCGAATGACTTCCGGGTGGTCAACGATTAGCTTTCACATACAATGAACAAAAGAGACGAACGTGGAGCAGCGGAGTGTAGTCCGTGACTTTCGGGTTGCGGAAGCTAGAAGGGTAAGAATGTCAAGAGATCGTAACATAGTTCAACGGCATGGATGATTTACGACATAATCCACGCGCCGGCTCCCATGGCTAAAAGGACAGCCTCAGGAAGCATCCTCATGAAGATGGGATAGCCTCACCGAAATGGCCCAATGCCAGAAGAACCTTTGTGCATAGAAATTAGCGCCAACTCAAGAGACAAGTAAAGGCCAAGATAGCTCACAATAATTGTGGTCATTATCCAACTCTTACGGCTGACTGAAGTGAATAGCAGGGTCATTAATGGTCAAACCGTTAATGGAATGTTGCCACTTACTTATCCAGACACGGTACGAGAAGTACAGGCGTACGGCGAGTTCAACCAGGGGCTGGAATTTTCAGATATCCATTAGCACGAGGAGCGGTGGGCTTTGTGTCAACAGTGTCTGACCGATAAGATTAAGTTGACCTAGCTTGATGTCAGGCTCGAAATTTGTTTAGAGTACTTGCGGCTCACCTGAGAGGTCCTGCAGGTAGAGTAATAGAGTCAACTTCTGAAATAGTGCACAGAAGTGGGGATTTACCAAACGAGAGTAATGAGTGCGACAGGGTTGCCCCAGTTCAAGACAAGATAATAGTACACCCCGTCCCCGGCAAAAGCCACTCGGAGAAGCTCCAATATCCTGAACGGTTGTTTAATGAATTCCAGATCGAGTATGGCGACCTAGGGAATGACCAACCATACATATGCCACCTGTGGAATGGATTTATTCCATGAGCGCTCCTTGCTGTCGTATGGTACGTTATCGAAGTGGGCGACTTACAATGCCTTTAAGGTACAGAGGATCCTTGGGAAAGTTATTGTAGTACCGCCATACTTGAGAGGTCGTGATGCCTAGGAGACTGCAAGATATACACGATCAGTGCTCATAACATTGGGATAAAGGACAGGAACATACCCAACAGAAAACAGGAGCCCAATGAAGATAGCCCCATACGTTGGGCGGAGGTCGACGAACGGTGACGTTGTTGCAGACATAACTGAAGGTAGGAATGGAGGCACTGAAAAAGACACTGGTAACGAGCTGTGGCAAGCATTCAGTTCTTAGTATATATATCTGAAATAGGAGGAAACATATCATAACGGTGGGCATCAGACCCTCATGTGTGCTCGAAGTGATTATCTATTTTGAAGCATGACCAAAGCTCGGCCATAAACAGAACGATCCACAACACCTTTGCACAAATCATGCTCCGAAGCAGGAAAGCGGGTTCACGGCGGTGACATCTCAGACAGTTCGAACAATAGTGCAAAGAGCCCGATAGGCCGCGGGACAGATATCTGATTCTCATAACTAGACATCGTGAGTTTTAAACATCGCGTCCTTCTTGGCGATTTATCCGTCTTGGTATTTGGTTAAAATCTACAACGAATAAGAGGGCGATAACACAGCGATGAGTGCCCATCGGATGATATAGCAGAGTCATAATATCATGAAGATGATATGAGTGCTTCCGTCGGCGCCCGCTCATGGAGACTGGCTGTGCAGTCTCTCCAAAAATACTACCCGACTTTCTTCTCAGACTCAAACGGCAGTTCTTAGCGTTGGCTTGGGCGACGCGATTGATCCTTTCAGGAGTAGGGTTCTAACAACTGAGGTGGTAACTCATACTTAAATTTCAGAGAACGACCCACAAAGGGCCGTCAGGATCAAGCGCTGGCTTACCTGGGTTAAAAATAGATGCTGATGCGAACTCGACGGTGTTCTAAATTTAGTAGGTCAGGTGGTGGATTCACACGCTCTGTCATCCTCTCGCGTTTGCAGGCATCCACAGCACCTCACATCCACAGCCCATTTGGTCGTCTCACTCCCCTTGTTCTCTACACGAAGTCAGTTAAAAAGCGAGTGTACCCCACAATGAGCTACTCTGTGAGTGCCTTTGCCAGCGAGGTTCCGCCACTGACATGTGTGTCATGCAGACCCGAGTTCGTACGTTTAAGGAATCAGACTCGGCGCAGGTCCGTGAACTCTACTTGCTAGCGATGCTATATGGCCGTCAGTTTTGCTTGAGCCTATCTCCTTGCCCAGTGCTAAATTCTGTCCACAGCTCGAGCGCCAGTTACTATTGCGCTGAAGCATCAGCTTCGCAAGCCTTTCGCAATGGTTCTCTACTCCATTTTTGCTTGTGGTGTTGCTTTGTTGCGTCAATCCTCCACTCGGGTAACAGGAATGGCCATGTCTTCCACCGCCCTTAGTCTTTTCCTGGCTTGGTGTCGCATTATCTGGAGTAAATTCAAGACTTTCTGCCAAGCAGCAGTTGACGGAGATCTTGCTGATATTGGAAAGAATTATTCAGCACTGCCGTCGGATGGGTTTGAAGTACATTCGAGCAGGTTTTGGGTCGTAGAAGTAGTAGAAGGTGATGAGACAGGAAAAATTGTCGGCGCTGTTGGATTAGGTATATTTCATTTCTCCTCCTTCACGAGCCTCTGATGTTCACATGAGCTCAGATTCATCAACTAATCCAGATCCAAAGTCAGCTGAACTGCGTCGAATGGTAGTTTCTCCAGCTTATCAACAACAGGGAGTGGGCAGCCTCCTCGTGAAAACTCTTCTCGAGTATGCGAGAATGCATGGGTTGACAAGTGTCTTCTTGTCCACGAGCATGTATCAGATGCCAGCAATGCAACTCTACGAGCGTCTTGGGTTTGTACTGGACAAGAAGGTGGAGGTTCAAGTCAAAATCTTATTCATCGTGAACAAGGCTTATTTGCATTTCTACAAGATCGAGTTGTAGATTTTTAGTACAGGGCTGGGTTGGTTAAATATTTATGCCAAAGATTTCTCCACCATTTCTTCCCCTGCCTGCATAGTGTCTAATGTATCCTGTACTCAAAGAATTATATTTATTCAAATAATAGTCTCCTATATATGCTCCTCGTGTGAAGAACGAGAACAACTCTTCTCCCATCTGACTTCAAATTCACCACGTTCAATTTGTGGGCAGAGCTAAAACTGATTTCGATCCCAGATAGCAAATGGGTCCCTAAGTTTCTTCACGGTGTATGCAATCTCTGTGGATGTCTAAAATTAGCTCTGAGCTCAACCGAGGTGATATTCTCCAACTGGATCACACTGAATAACATCACAGTGCTTGTTCTGATATGTAGTGTCCCATTTTAGTGACCTGTCAGTCTGTTGAAGTGCTTAAGGAGAAAATGGCCCCTATTCCAAATTTCCGATTGATTTGTTTACACCATGATTCAGATGTAATCTATCAAAATGCTGAACCAAATGAAAAATCCAAAGTGAGTGTTTCTTGTGAGGATATCTAGAAAAAATTGTAAAGAGTTAGCACGGACCGTATTAGACAGTTGATCAGTCAGCATACCTTTGCAGGTACTGGGTTCCATTGGATCAATCATGATAATCTGCCACCCCAATTCTATTGACATAGTGCCCACAGTGATAATTACCAGTATGTGGCTATGGCCGTTGGCCCAAAGTGCCTGAGCAAGAAGAGAAATGAAGATAAGGGAGAACAAGGTTAGATAAAGCTTTATGGCCTTCTGAAGGGCAATGGCTGATGAACCAATTCCGAGTTTCAAGTCATCTTCAAGGTCTTGACAAGCATATATGGTGTCTATATTCCCATAATTCAGATGTGAGAAACATGAAAGAATGTAGGCTCACCATAGAACATTGTCCATCTTGGATTAATCAGGGATTCAGTTAGGTATAATAATGAAAAGTGACATACTCATGCCCAAAGCCCAGCCATGAGTGGAGCTATCACATCTTGTTTAATTGAGCCGCATATTGTTGTCCAGGCAAGTACGACTCCCCAATTCATCTGTGTACAACAGCTTGCTTAGGAATATATGAGAACATGGGAGAGCGAAATGACCGCGCTGCAATCCCAAGCCATGCCTGTGGGAAGGCTGTGATCCTCTTCATCAGTGGGTACATAAAAATGCTTGTAGTTGATCAGCCAAGTTCTTTTCCCATAGATAGGTACGCACAGCGGGAAGGCAATCAGCCTAAAATATAACCTATCCGAAGACTCAACACCGGAGGACATCATGAAAGGTTTTGCAAGCTCACACATTCTGGTCAGGGCTCCATAAGAGAACGAAATATACCAAGGACTGGATCACGAGGTAAATTCCTGCACAAAAAAAGGAGATCCTCCTGCTCGCAAGAGGGCACTCCTTAGTACATTCTACATCATGATCAAAGGGATTGACCACTAGCGGACTTTTATTCTGAAGGAATTGCTTACCAACTTGTTGGTCATAACTATAGTTGCACATGTCGTTCACTGTGCAGCCGAGACTTCTGGCTACAAAAGACCAGGTTAAAAGTGTGAATACCCAGCATATGTATTCGTCAAGCTGCAGCTTCTGAGAATAAGCAGCCATCGTGAGTCCATAGGCTGAATTGCCTTGTCAGAGTGGGCAGAAAATGGCCATGCCAATAACTGACCATGGGGGAGGAATACAAGCAGTGTCCCTCCCGGCTATATTTTTCAACAACTGTTGACAGATATAAACGGCTCGATTGACTATAAGAACACACCTTTGAGAAGCGGATCAGGTCTAGGTAGTTTTGCGTAGCTCTGAGGACGGCCATGCTTTGACACTCCAACATGTCTACTCAAGAGGAAACTTTTCTCTTCCACCTTATAAACATCCCAGTTTGATTATATCATTATAATCACTCAGGGTTCATCCCCGGTAAGACATCGAGATTGACTCTTCCTGCTGGGTTTCTGAAATGGGTGACTAAAGTGGCAATATTTTACAGCCGGACTTACAACGCTGATAATGGAGTTCTGTTCCTTATGTGACCTGTCAAAGTGGGTCCCGGAATAATCCTCAGTGACGAGGATGATCGAGATGAACGGAGGGCGGCCATTTTGAACAAATAGTCCTGACAGCTGCAATAATCTGTGGGAGAGAGCAGAATATGCACCTCCCGCAGCAGTAGCTATATTTGTGACTGCCTGTTTATCTTTTACTTTGGAAGACTGTCATTCCAGGGCGCGAGTTCGCCCCGATGCGGTTGAATTCGGCTGGATCAACAAGGACACGTGATTCGTGTTGAGATATGATCAGCTCAACGCTTCTTTCTAACTTCCTCCTCCCTGCTGCGTCAACTCCTTGCTGGTCCATTTTCATTAATGGAAGAAAGCATATGCATACCACCCCCATACTGTCTCGGTAACTGCGTGGAATTCACAGTTTTAAGTCTCAGGAGAGCTACACCGCTGTGACTCAGCGTACACCCTTCACTCTCCCCGAAGGATATCAGACTAATCACCACGTTTGTGGGCCTCTGATTGCCATATTATCCTCCGTTCATCGTCATCCTGATCGCAGCAATGCATCACTTGAGGTGAGTGCTTGGTACTGCTATGCATCTTTCGCCTATCTGCTCGGCTCGATCCCTCGGATCCCCCATGTTTTCTGCTGGTTTCATCAACTGCAACGACGTGAAATACCCCCTCAAGTATTTGAACCTGGAGAATGCTGGGTAATAAACGCGGGGAACACATTCGAATGCCAGAACTTACGCTTCACCGTCGAATTCAGCGATTAATCAACTCCTAGTACGTATCTCTTCTTCGATCGCTCAAACCCACATTTACGAAGGTCGCTTTCTCTCGGTATACGCTTCGCTCGCGCCCATTCCCTGTCGAGATCAGGCACACGATATCATTCTTAATCGTAATGTTCGCTGTCTGATATTCTCTGTTCTCTTCAGATAGTTGTGGACTCCATCACGGAGTATCGCATCATTCACAAATGGCACCTCGGTCGGTACGCCGAATCAATACCAGCGCTGTTTTCGTGTCGACAGACATTACCTAATCTACCGACCTCTTGGGTGTTCACAAAAACCTAGTCAACATTGAATCAGCTCTTCGTCATCCCTGCCGTATAGTAGTAGAGAGCACATCTCTTCCATTTCCAGCATGGCAGAACGTGTTCCTCTCATCCTTGGGTCTGTTTTCGTCACGGTGTTGGTCTATGAGTTCTTCAAACCAAAGAATGCCTTCGGCGATGTACCTGGCCCGATTTCACGCTCATGGATTTTTGGTAGGCCTCCTAATCTCCCATTCTCCATGAACTTATCTGATGCGGAGCGTATTCTTCCAGGCAACATGCTCGAACTCCAACTCTACTCGCCTTACGGGCAGCACGAGTTCGAGTGGCAGAAGCAGTTCGGGCCCGTGTACAGCATCAAGGGCTGCATCAGGGTAACGTCTCCTGCCTCTAAACGTGCCCTTCATGCTAACACCACTCGTCATAAGGAGGAGCGCCTTATGGTATCTGACACCACTGCACTGTGGGCGATCTTGGCAGACACTGGCGACTTCAGAAAATCACCCCAGCACCAGCTCATAAACAAGGAGGTCTTCGGCAACAGAAGCATCCTTTATGTACATGGTACATTCTTCATGCTGTGTGAAGGCTCTTCATCTGACCGTTCTTTATTGCCTAGGTGAAAAGCATCGGCATATCTGTGCTGTGATGAACCCGGCGTTTTCGACCGCGACTATTAGAGCTCGCGTATCCTCTCTCCAGGCATGCGCACAACACGTGAGAATCGACCTTTCTTCCCTATGAGCTGTTCTAATCGCCCATGTTGGTAGTTATCAGAGAAATGGGAAGCACGCCTCGAATCTCAGTCTGTCGCAGGCATATTCGATATCTTCCAGGATATACACGAAACGACTCTCAGCGGAGTTACCGACGGTGAGGCAGTTGACCATAATCTTCGCGCTAGAATTAACTGTTACGAAAGCTGTCATGGGTTATGATGTTGCCAATGACAAGGAGTTTACCAAGGCGTACAAGAATCTCGTGTAAGTCTTCCTCCCTGCCGATCATTCCAAGATGTTAGACTTATGCTCTTCTAACCACCCAGAATTACTGGCGCGAAGAGATCGAAAATAGCGATCGTCGCACACGCGGTGCTTCTGGCTCTTCCGTCGTGGGCCATCGACGTCCTCAAGCTCTTCCCACCTAGAGAGTTCAAAACTCTGCTTAAGCACTGCCACGCATCTCAGAGACGTGCCGATGTTTTCTTGAAGAGCCAGATCGAAGCGAGGAAACTTGGAATAGAACCAGAGAACGACCTTTTCAACGTGATGCGTAAGTTAACGTTCCGTATTTTGATATTGGAGCCCCATTTAAGACATCGACAAGTCGACTCCCATAAGGCCTCCGCAGAAGTTTCGTTGCAGGAAATTAAGGATCAATTCGGCACCATCACCGTCGCAGGAGAGGATACGACTGTGAGTGATGCTAGCTGTGGTCGAACTCTGTCACTGACGTTGGAATTCTTCGTAGGCCAATTCCATCGTGTGGGCTCTTTACCAGCTCGCCAAGAACCCGGAATACCAGAAGAAGATACGTGAAGAATTTGTTGAAGCCCAAGAGAGCAAGAGGAAGGAAGGACTCGAATTCTACGAGAGCTTGCCCTTCCTCAATGCCCTGGTCAAGGCGTGTTTGCGCCTCTGCTATGTTCGTCCGTATTAGCTCACAGTATTATCAGGAAACTCTAAGGTTCTATAGCATGGTCCCTTACTCGGAACGTATTGCGATCAAGGACACCGTCATCCCTGTCTCTCAGCCCATTACCACCCGAAGCGGACAGCAGATCACCCAAATTCCAGTCAAGAAAGGACAGTACGTCCAAATCGCGATAAGCTCCTACCATCGGTGAGCTTCTTTCGTCTCTTGTTCCTCATTCTGCGCTGACGACACAAAGTCTACCGTCTCTCTGGGGCCCTGACGCGGAGGAATTTAACCCCGTGCGCTGGCTCGATGACAGGACAAAGCTTGGAGATAAAGCCCTGGGGCCGTATGCCAACCTGTACGTTTCTCATGGCCTGATAGTGTCCGTAAAGTTGAGCTCCCGGGATTGTCTTCCTAGGCTTACGTTCTTGGGTGGTCCCCGTACTTGCCTTGGGTAAGTTAGCAGTTTCTTCTGCCAAGCATGAGCATTCACCATGATTTCGCACATAGATGGTGTTTCGCGTATGTAGTTAATCTGCCTTCCTTTAAATTCAAATACCCTTTGCTGACGAGATTACTTATAGCGTTCTCGAGATGCAGATCGTGCTGTGCGAGCTTGTCAGGAAGTTCAATCTTGGACTGCCAGAGAATTCCATTATTGAGCCTGCCCACGCGATCTCTTTAGTCCCCATCCACAATCGCGGCAATGTGGAGCTCCCTTTGTGTATCTCATGCATTTAGGAGTATCGCAATGGCTGTATTTCTCTCACAGATTTATCGCGTACGCCTAGAATGGTGGTTTGTTCGAAATATCAAGTATATTGTATCGTCATATCTCGCCTACCAATCTTCCAACAGAATGACAGGCATCGAGCAGTCAAGCATATCCGAGTCTGTTCGAGGTCCTCGTAACCCAGAGGTCTCGGCTCTTGACCAGCATGTAGAAACTCATCCCCAATGCATAAGCCTTAGCAAGGAAGCGGCCCCCGCCGTCCTACGATGAAAAGGCAAAATTAGGCTCGTAAATCAGGATGAGGATAGCGTTGAACATGCACCTATACGTCGTGTGCATCTACGCAGACCATGAATGGGGTTATACCCCTGGACAACTCGGAGTTTAGTTGCGGGTGAGGATGTAAGCAGCAGAGAAGGAACGAGGGTCGAGGAACGTGGAAGCTCGGAGGCGCAGAGCGTGAATAGCAACGAGCAGAGTGATTGAAGGAGGGATGCTATTCCCCTCCACAAACCCATCGAGCGGAAAAAAAATTGAGCGGATACACAAGCCAAAGCAAGATGATATGGGGAAGAGAGTTGGAAGGCAGCGGCAAAATAGACAGTGTGGGCCAAAGACACGCCTCGGAAGCACAGTAAGTACACCAAAATGCACAAGCCCAAGCGCCGACATCGAATTCCCTCCCGGCACCTCTCAGTGTCTAAATCGGATGAAGGCGACACGTCTATAAATCCAGTTGAGCTCTGGGAGGAATAGGGATTCAAACATCGGTGCTGGCGTAGACGGGGGTGTTCAGAAGGGGGGAAGGCGAGCCCGGCGAGGGAAGGCGATGCAGAGCTGCATGGCATCGTCGACATCGATGATGGTCAGCAGAAAGTGCGACAGAGGGACGTCAAAGTCGTATAGGTCGATCCTAAAGTCATTCAATGGGTGCAAACGTTGGACCAAGTTGAATGCCGGACGGTGGCGGGTTGGGAGGAAAAGACGGTGTCGAGCTGACATAATGATCTCGCACGCACATTAGGGCAGGACGCGCTGACGTCGACTCTCACCACCACCTCGTTCAACGAAGGCGGCCCCTTTGCCAGGCAAGTTCCTCGGGCACAGCACCGACTCGCACCATCCTGCATTTTCAATCCCGCCATTTTCATAAGTATAAGGATGCCACCCACTTCCGCCTTCGTCGACACCGTGCCGACCTCCATAGCTTCGGATCTGCTTAATCAACCATCCAGGCTCAGTTCCCCACCTGCTCAGCTTTCGATGTGATCGTCTTATGTCCTCTTCTTTGGGCCATCGCAACTGCTCACGCCCTGACGAAAGGACTCAGAACGAGCATGAGAAGGGGTGGTTAGACGGTGGTGGGTAAATAACCAGCTTTGTTTCCTCGGGTCCAAGTAAGTTTTACTCTCGTTCTTGTGTTTTCTTTCCACTTCTTTGGTTCGAATCTAAGCTTGGCACTTTACTGCACGTTTTCCCGTCTCCTTATTCTCCAGTTTCTCGTTCTCTTCACACAGCCAACCTTATAGTCGGCGCTCTGCTCACACTCGTGTATCTCTTGTTCTCCCTGTCCGTTCTTCGATGTACCTCTTATTCTGACTCATATATCTGTTGGATGGAGCTTTCATTCGACCTTCTAGGCTTCTGCGCGGCACACTCGCTCGTTCAGACCAAACGGTAGCCGAACGTCGTTCATGTCCAAGGCCTTGGCTCAAGTTCGCCCACCTGTGTTCTCTCCGTACGACCTCTAACACCTTCTTCCTATCCCGAATCTACTCACGTCGATCCCAAATCATTCCATTAATGCTTGCCCAAATATTCGAGGTCAGGACGACTTTGAGTTTCTTATCACCGTTCCATGTCCTTCTAATCTCTTCTCCGTCTCGTCCTATCCAGCCTGGCCGCTATGAAACGCCGCTTTGCGACCTCCCCGTGATCACCCTCTTCTTTGTTGACCATCGAAACGAAGGATTTTCTGGACCGTTTCGCCTCGTCGACACTCGAAACACATTTCTGGCAGAAACGTCCATACGAACGCGTGGCTCGCGCGGTCGGGAGAGGCTCGCTAGGTGTCTCCGTATCCAGACCTAGAGCACTCTTGGGGGTCAGGGCCGAATGACACGGGATAACCCACCCAGTGGCCAATGACGCCGTGTAATGCGCTGCGGCCCGGCGCATGGGACAGGAGTCGAGTTCGGGTGTCTGTCTAGCCGTACGTAGGTCGTCCTTCAGATCAGCATACCAAGTCTCCAACCACTTGTAACCCTTCTCTTGGCAGATGGGGTGGTGGGTTCGCCAGCTGAGTCAGAGTCCGATCGAAAACCTATCCTTTAAGTGGTCTACGCGCTGCTATCTGGATTTCGGTGTCTGTTGTATTTTTGGCCTGCGAACCGGCGTCCAAGTCGTGCGTCTTCTTACGGGATGCTGCTCTACCATTCAACGGGTTCGTACTCTTCTCGTGGCCACGTTGGGCGGAAGCAGGCGGCGTAAGTCTGCGGCCGCGTCCAGTTTCCAGTTTCTGACAAGTTCACCTACCTATTCCAAATCACAATCATACCTTGGGCGCTGACTCGTCTTATCTAAGGTTTGATTGGTCGAAATGAAGATGGACTCGTGTTTTGGAAGAACCGCTCTAGAGATCATGTTGACGCCAATGGATGATGGTGTGTAGGCAAGACGCTCCTGCGATGCCGTCGAGTTGGAGGTGTGGACGGTGATTTTACACCTCCATTACTTGGCCATCTAACACGGAGAACCTTAATTCGTACACGAAATGAAGGTGAGCAGGGGAATACTAGCATTCGTGCGCCCGATATAAGGCATCCCGCGACGACGAGTGTTCGCTACTCCTCTTTTCCCCCGTCTTACACATTGGATCCTTCCCGTTACATATCTCAGCCTTCCACACAGTGGGTACTCCATTTAATCCCATCGATTAATTCACTGACCGCACTGTACGCTTTGGTAGCCTCGTATCATACATCTAGGCGTCGCAAACCTCTTTACTTTATTTCAATGCCGGCTTTTGGGTGGGAGGTCCGTCGAAACCCTCCAGAGAAGCCGCCCGATATCCCAATGAGCACTTCTGCCGGGAACCTCGACACCATCGACGCAATTGAGCTGCATGTCCGAGGAGTGTGGAGAGACATTCAGGCCCATGCAAACGCTCTCGCCAATGCCGCCACGGTATGTCCGAACTCGTCTTATGACAATTCGAGCTTCGCCTGATACGCTTTTCCATGACACACATTGAGGCCCGAACTCTCATCCTGTAGGTATTTCGTGGTGGTCGATTACCCTCAAGACCTCCCTTGGGGCTCTTTTTCCACGAATATCTGCTGGTGTCTTCGGTGTTTAGCGTATGCTCCTGCGTGGGAGAAAAACGAGCGTCTTTCTATGGCAGATATAGTCTGCAAAAAATAACATCACTGCACGTTTGAGGCTTGCACGCAGGTTCACATTCTAAGATCAAAAAGAGCAGCAAGTTTTTAAGACCATAAGTTCATTCCCTGCAGGTTCAAGTTCCTGTAATCACTTGGCAATCACCGGGCCGCGGGGTGGTAAACTCCGCACCAATTTCCCACGCAGGCCATGGTACTCTAATTCGCTTCACTGAGGCTGCAGTATGAACCAATATTACACCATATGTTGCATTCATATCGTAGTCAGATGAATCAACGATAAAAGAAAGAGAAAGCCTATCCCAGAAGTGAATAGGCGCCATGAACTCTCTTATGAGTGATGAGCGCCGGAAGCCGAGGACAAGTGCCAAGAGAGGTTTTTGAACGAGTCTTAATTTTAGTTCACAATTCCATGCGTTGAGTTGAGTCAAGGAACTGTCCGATACGATAGAAACAGTGGACTCGCGCGACTCGTACTTACTAATTAGAAAAGTGCAGCACGAAGGTGTTGCACAGCCTCGCAATATCTATAATGATCATCGTTGTCATGAATATGGAGACTCCGAGTGCCCGACGAGCATTATCAATGTCTTCATGGTGATTGAGGCTGCCGTCTCCTACTCCTTATCCGTTTCACTGTAGTTTGCCTCTGATGGATCTGCTGTGTTACAGCTGTTTTCTTATCGATAGGCCGCCATCAAAGAAATACATATACAAGCGGACTACGAAAATTAGGGCCCTCTCACGAGCCGAGAGCTTGGGATGATGGCCTACTCCGACATTATCTGGACATTTGCCTCCGAGAATTACAGAGTAGCTGGTGAGGTGATGAGGGCGAGACACTGCTACAATAAAATTTTGGGAGAGGCGAGAGATCCGCTGGTTCGCATAATTGTGCATGTGGGACTCATGACCGTCGAGAATGTCCAAGTCACCACTGCCAGCGCCCATGGACTTCACGAGCCTCACATGGTTCCCCGTGGTCAACCCAGAAATCTGCGGAAAAGGGGTTGAGTAGGCAGAAAGGGTGTATAAATTACAATGGTCTTCGAAGCTGGAGCCTGGTGCGATGCCTCATAATCTTGACATCCTCCTCGTCTGGTGAAACCTCGAGGATGACCTGGAAGATTTTTTATTCTGTTGCAAGAACCCTGTTTCTCGACTTTGGATAGCGCAGGTAGGACAAGGTAGGACAGCCCTTGCCTTGAGCTCTATCCGTTGATCTCCGGCATCTAAATCGCGACTCCGCCTAAGCGATTAGTGCGTGTATTTCGCTTATGTTGGCCTATCGATACGAAAACGGCTGTAATTAGCAGGAGATACCTCTCGTCACTATCTTGTCGCTTATTTCTCGAGCCACAACAGATAGTACACCGAGTCTTGCTATGGGAATCTTAAAGTTAGTCTATAGGTAAGTGCCAAAACTGTTGGAGCAGTCCTCGAATATCTTTCTGTATTCTTACGAGCTCCTATGCATCTTTAGAACACGGACAAATCTATTTCATGGCGCCAAACCCCCTGAGGATGATTATAGACACCGCCCGTGATGACAAAAGGGCGTGGGAAGTGCGCCTTGGCGCTCCCTGACCCAGGCGCTCCGGACGGTGTGTACTTAGTACCATGCTTGAGGAAATATTTCAGAGGCACCTTGCTGTATCATGTTAGATGTAGGATGTTCGACGTGCGGCTTTCCTCTTGCTCACATCATGTCGATCCGCCCCCAATCCGTCCCGTTTCACTCAGGCCCTCCTTCTCCCACTCCTTCCTCACCCTTCCCGCTGTCTCACGCCCAACGTTCACTCCAGCGCCGATTTCTATAGCCCTCTCCCTCCTAGCAGGTACATGTCTGTATGGTGATATATCCACCGTCCAATCCACGCCCTGAGAGGCACTAGTGGAAAGCAGTGAGGTTTCGTGGTTCCGTGCATCTGGGCTCTGCCTCGCCCGCCTCCCATCTTCACCTTAGGTGTCCCTCTCCTCGCCAGTCACTGCGCTCCTTCCCTATGATATACGACCCCTACCCAGTCGCCGTCGACGTTTCCATTTGAATTTCGAGGACAGGTTGCATCCACCTTGTGCGCTCACCTGGGTCTGACCCTCCAAGTTCTTTTCTCAATCTTTCTCGGTGGAATCTACAGGCTTGCGCTCTCACACCCTCTCCACTCGTTTTTGGTTTCTTCTGCGATCCCCCTCACGCGGCATACTTACTCCCATCCAACCCTGTGTTCCATACACTAGAGTAATAGCCTCGATGTTCGCACCATCACCCATCCTCAACATAGCGACACTACGCTATCGAGCTGCCCATACGCATACTGGTGCACGTCCGCCTTCTCCCCCGTCTACTGCTAAGCCGCCCTCAGCTCGCCTCGTGCTGCAAGTACTCAATCGGCGGGATAGACGCCCAACCGCTGGTACGAGGTGAAATCGCGGGTGTATTTCCAGCGTCATAAGGTGCGTATTTTCTCCTAATCGCTCTGCACATCTCATCTGAACTGTTTCCCCCGTCAATTCGGCGACTGCAAATGTGTGCTTGAACGCGCGAAAGTGCGTAGAGTAAGGTGGCGTTTTGAATTTTGATTTCATCCTCCTAGTTCCGTCATCAGCCTAATATGTCTACGATTCTTTCGCAGGCTCTCGCATGCTGAATATTCGCCTGGATGGCCGGAGGCGCTCAAGCGCACAGTGCGGCAGCTCAAACGACTCCACTCTATTCTCTTCCACAGCTCGGTGTGTTCGTTCGTTCATGACCCGTGGCCGACGACACGAAGTCCATCTCCAGCTGGTGTCTTTCAAAAGGGCAGTCCTCTTCTCATTCTCGACCCTCCGTTCACACCCCTTCTTTCGTTAACCCGCCAACCATATCGAAGCCGCCGATGCCAGACAAGTCAAGCAAATATTAATCTCGTGCACGATTATAATTATCCATCGCCGTCCTTGTGCAGATGGCATAATGCATCCGTTTTCACCTATCGATCCTCCGGGTCGTCGTTCATGATCGGACTCTTGCTCTCATGGCATTCCCATTTCGAGCTCGAGCCCACTATGAGGCGAGGGACGCGTTCTCTGAATGCCCGCCGTTCTCGTGGCAGAGCTCCGTCTACTGTTGGTATTAAATATTACTCATCTGCAACCGAACTTCGAATCCGAGGGTAATATGCATACGTCCATTCATGCACAACCTACGTGTATGCTCCTTTCCCTCCAATCCGATGACTCGATCTTGCAGATCAATTCGACGTACAGGCGTGACAATCGCTTTGTTCTCATTGTACCACCCGCATTGTCCACAACTGTGGATGGATGGTATACTCCGTTATCCCACTGGCACTGGTTCTCTCAGCGGCCTGTTGTGCGATTATGGTCTTCGATCCAGATGCCCGCGTTTCTCGTTTCTCGCGCTCATGCTGACTCGAGGCGCTTGAGGCTTGAGCGTACATTGGGAGAACCTAATCAACTCGACTACTCGGCTTGACATCCATTTCTTTGACTAAGGAAGGCACCGTCGATCCTTCGTCCAAGTCCATCAACACAGATATCCCTCTAGTCTCCGAGTCGTTCTCGATAGCAAGCACAACATGCTAATCTTTTTTCTTATAATTGGATGCAGTTCAATTTGTAAGCACAGGGTGGTTGATTCGGATAAGAGGCTACACGGATCTTTGGGATCTGGGACGGACGTATGTATGAGGATAGGCAGGATTCGGAAGATTGGACTCGGAGACGAGAGGTATTGGCAGGAGAGGTGAGAAGGCGAGAGTGAAGGGAGGACAGGGCGAAGGGAAGAAGGGAGCAGTGCGACAGAGCGGGAAGACGACGGCGGAGGATGTGTGAATTCGGGAATATCGAGGGGGAAACACCTACAGGCCGAAGGCCCAACCCAGTCAACGCCATCATGTGTGACCGACTCTCCGCCCTCTCTTCCACAGCCTTCCATCTACAGCAAAGCCACCGAGCGTAGGCTGATAGAATATCAATTATCTCGATGCCTACTTGGACGAGTTTGCAATTGCTAATGGACTGCGTATGCGTCGTGCACGCGGGTGGTGCATAACTACGTGGTAGACCACGAGGTTTGCGGATTGAGCTGCTTTGGGCGAGAGAAGCGGGGGTGTTCGAGAACCCGGGATATCAGGCGAAGCGAGAGAAGCAAAAAGAAATTGAAAGCAGGGGAGAAGCCGTACGTTACACGGATGGGCGAGCGCGACGTGGAATTCCATCCTATTCTACTCATCGACATCTGATCACAGCACCGCTGGCGGCTAGGCCTCTCCTGTAATCCGGGACGCAATGCATGCACCGCCCACATGAACGACTCAATGAGATCGAACTTGAACAGCAAAAGCGACACGGCTTCTGGTCGCAAGAGCACCCATCTGCACTTCTATGTTTCACTGACTCGTTTCGAGCGTCCACGGAGCGATATGTGTCAAAGGGTACGTCGCCACGAGGGTAGGCCAGGGAGAGGATGCAGACGAGGATGATAGGTAGCGTTGGAAGGGCGGGGTCGAGGTCAGGAGAGAAGGAGGACGTACCAAAAATGTTTGAGCGGAAGCCTAGCAAGCGAAATGAACTCCAGGAATGTGTAGGGTGGAGTGGATCGAGGATCCTCTGGCGCTTTGGTGCTAGGAAACCGTCGACGAGTAGATCGGGGAGCGGGGCACGGCACTAGGTGGAATTGTGAGCGCCTAGATAATGAGCGAATATTTGCATCAGGATAGGAAGACCGATGATCGATGAGGCAGGGACAGCGCAGAGAAAGGAGGTGGTGCAAGGGCGAGTGGGGCAACCGAGAGGCAGGGTGCTGTGTGAAGAGGGCAAGAGATTGAAAGGCGGGAGGTTGGGGGATGCGTATACTAGAAGGTTGGGCAGGGGTGGTAGAATGAGGATGTAAGGGATGTGAATGAAGATACGGAAAGAAGGGGAAGGAGATGGGGTGGAGATGACAGAGGGAGAGGTGGGATGCTCACCTAGTCCCGAGGCAACATGCTTGGTCATGTTCTCGACTCGCCGCCGCCCAACCAACCGCCTAATCTCATCTCCTTTTTATGATCGTTCGCTAACGGTTGCGAAATCCAATGAGAGGCGATCGAAAGGATGTTGAGGATACGGAACGGATAGGTGATGTGACAACGAGAAAGCAGGTCTGATAGCTGACTAGATGCCGAACACTGAAGGGAGCCCGCGTCCAAAGCTATGAGGGTCGTCATGATGTCGCAGGAGGCCGAAGTGGGACGGGCGCAGACGAGCGACCATGGGGGCCGTCTTTGTTCGTTGAACGAGAGGTGCTGGTGAGATCTAGAGTCGATGCATTAGCGCGTCCTGCCCTAATGAGGTGCAGATCATTATGTCAGCCGAGTCGGCCGACGATTCTTTTTCCTTCCGACGACAACCTCGAGGACCGCTCACTCTGCCATACCGCACACCACGCGATGGCGGATCGACACGCCGGCGACGGCCATTGGCCGCATGTCCTTGGCAACTTCTGACAGGGACTAATACCCATTCTGCTGCGACCCGGCACGCTGCGACTTCACATCGCCGTCTCTCGTCTTTTCACTCTCTTCCCTGAGCCTCCACTCTCACCGCACTCCCACTCTCCTTCCATGCCGTCACCGCAATCTGATGTCACGCCCATGCCAGCACCGATGTTTGATTCCCTCCTCCTCCCAGCGTGCGTATACAGATGCGCCTCCTCCATCTGGTTCGTGCGCTGAGATGCAAGTATGGAAAAAAAATTGTTGGCGCTGGGTCCGTGTGTGTTCTCGTCCTTTCATCTCCCGCCAACTTCCGCCCTTTCCGCCCTAACGTAGTGACTCTGAAGACGAAGGGTATTCTGAGAATTGCCCTGAGTTCTAGAAAACGGGGCCCATGCGCGCTCCAACATATTTAGCTTGAAGATCTGCGTTCGCGACATCCTGTACACCATTAGGTATCTTATTTCGAATTGTGACCGAAATTGGCTGTGAGGCACTTCATCTTGTGCTTCCGATAACAACACGATGCAGGTCATGTTACTCGCGCCGACGCCCACTGCACAGCAACCGTGCTGTGAAATGCTGTGTCCTTTGGGATGCGCAACATATTCTTAGAATACATCTCAGAGTACTTTAATACCCATACCCTAAGATCGATAAGCGAGATATCGTCTTTCCTCCCTTCTTCGACATGGTGCCCCCGTGGGAGGAGGCACCATGCCCCCCAGATAATCGTTCGAGTATCCCCAAGAATCGAATATATCCCTCGCCACTGGCGGCGGCTGAGCTTCGTCTCCGCCAGGTCTGGGACGACGTCCAAGATTCGACAGAGGGCCTCGCTGTTGCCGCTCAGGTATGTACTTAGAAAGGGTCGCTTCTCATTGTCAACACCGCATCGCTCATGTCCCTTCGAAGAGCTCACAGCACTCGGACGGATCAAATCCGCCTTTCATACACGCAGCGCAAACTGCGCGAGATATTTGGATTGAAATTCAATCGCTCCCGCCTGATCTTCTCCTCGGTGTATGGAGTATTCTGTGCGAGCATAGATCGTAAGTGTTTCTTTCCCGCAGACCTCCTACTCGCCCCCTTCGCTCCGTGAGCCACCGTGGAAGTCTGACCGATGTGCATAAAGGCTCCTCCTTGAAATCCGTGGCACGATCGCTTCTGGCATGGTGACCAACATAGACGCTACAAACTTCGAGCAGCGTCTGTGCGCTGTCTACTCCAAAATAAAGGTATGCCTTCCCGCTTACCATTCGCTCCATCTCACGTTATCTCGAAAGGCGGCAAAGATATGTGGTGCCACCCCACAATCTGCGTCTGCGTCTGGTAGGTGCATCCCTCATAGTGTGAGTGCTTCTCTGAATGCTCCGTCTCTTTTTTCAGGGTTCTTCCAAGGCGCCCATGACATGGTTTTCTATGGCGGCCAGTTCACTGTCATCCAGCAAACAAATGCTTCCGACCCATCCGGAATTAAGCGTGTCGTAAGTGTTCGACTTTCCGTGGGTAGAATCCCGTTTGCTGAGTCCCAACACCAACACGTTGGATAACAGGAACTTCGCGTCGTTGTCGAGGTCTTCTTTTTATTTGATTCCTGGTTCCGACGAGACAACGAAAACCAGTTTGGATGTCGTTGAGCTCATTTGAGTAGGAGCCAAGCCCGCACCAAGAGCTGTGTGGGTTGTCTCCTACTCAAGTCGGCTCAACGCCATCCAAATTTGTTTCCTGTACCATTTCTAATTTAACGGCCAAGGTCAGCTGGCCGTGCGACGCTTAATGGCCGTTACGTTAGAAATGGTACAGCGTGCTGGCTTGCCGGGACCGCGGTCCTTTCCCATACACATATTAGGCCATTCTGTGTTAGCATTGTAATTTATATCACTTCTATATACTCCAGGATAGTTATTTCGAACATTCGAGGCCATATTTATTCAAACTTATCAAACCTTGAGTAACGTCGCGAGTGGACGCATCGTCCTCAAGGGATGATCTGCAGAATTACAGTCCCTGCTCCTGTCTACGAAAAGAACACCAAGGCGTCGAAAATTGGCGCGGTCGATTGCGTTAGAAGAGGCGCGATTCGGCTGCAATCTCAGAGGGCGGTTAGCCTCAAGTCATTGGCGAATATAGGGGGGACAACATTACTTACAACTCTGCGTCCAGCGCCGGTTGACGTGCTCGAGTCGGCGCTGGATCTGCGCTCCGACTAGCGCACATGCGGTCATGGAGGCAGGAAGTAGGGAGAATATCGGCCGTTTTAACAGGATGAATGGCATCGGCCACTGGGGTATAATCCCTCGTCGTCCTCTTCTGGAACACTTGGTGGGTTCGCGCTCGCTACGAAGCGTTCGAGTTCAAAATGTGCCGAACAAGAGTAGGAAGGTCCCAAAAGGCGTACGGTCGTACATACCACTTCGCGGCGTTGATAGAGCATACCCGGAGTCTGTTCAGTAACATACTTAGCACAGAGGCAACGCAGAGGTATAGTGAAGCTTAAAGAGCGTTAGGAGTATTGACAAGGGTGAGAGGCTGTAGCCGTACCGACGTATAATGTGAGAGTCTCGATAGACAAGCTAACATACGAAGGCTGACGGGCACAGGACTGGTGTTGCGGAGAGAATGTATGCGGCGAAGACCAGAGGGCGGAGAATGAGAAGTGTAGACGCGAGGCAGAGCACATGTTTCGAAGCTGGCCTGTGAACAAGCGTCGAATTCAAAGACTGAGCCGCAGACAGGATACGCGGTAGGATGAGAGAATAATATAGACCGTAAGACGAGGAGCATAGCTTCGGAGGCACCACATACATAAGCTGAAGCTGAAGTCTTGAGCGCGGATGCACCAAAACGCACGCAGAAGCCCAGCACCGACACTCTCATCTTTCTTACGTACCTCTCAGCGCGTGAATCAAACAGAGGCCCATCTGTATATCCCGCTGGGAGGAAGAGGGATATGAGGGTCGGCGCTGGTGCGAGCGTTGTGCATGAGACGGTGGGCGTGGGTAAGGAGAGTACTGGTAGAGGCGATCATGATGAGGAGCGGGAAGAAGATAGGAGCGCGAAGCACGGCATCACGAAACTACGCACGAACCCAGCATCGACATCGGGTCCCCTTCCAATACCTCTCAGCCTGTGAATCAGATGGATATAATACTGTTGTACATTCATGTTCAGCTGTGAGGAAGAGGGATTTGAGTGCCGCCGCTGGCGTGGCCGTAGAACGTCGGCGAAGGCTGGCGGGCCAAGGAGAGTCGAGTCGCAAGGACAGACAAGGAGCGGGAAGAAGAAGACGCGAAGCACGATATCACGAAAACGCATGTACGAGCCCAGCGCTGACACTGCTATCAGTCATATTTACTTCTCAGCGCGTGAAGAAGACGGAGGAAACGTGTCTGTACGTCCACGTGTAGCTGGGAGGAAGAGGGATTCGAGCGTCGGCGCTGGGGCGGATGTGGAACGCGAAACAGTGGAAGTGGCTGGGAAGGAGAGCACGAGCGGGGGATAGCAGGATAGCACGAAGACACCCACGGGCCCAGCGCCAAAAACTTCTTTCCGGAATACCCCTCAGCGAGTGGATCAGATAGAGGAGATGGTCAGTCCACGTGCACGCTGGGAGGAAGAGGAATGTGAGCGTCGGCGCTGGTGCGGACATTGGACGTCAGATAGAGGGAAGGCCGGCAAAGGAGGGTCGGCAGGGAAGGAGGGTGGAAGGGTCATGGGGATGGGGCAATGACTCGACAGAGGATGGGAGCGGGAAGACAATTCAGAAGACGGGAACCCGAAGCACGATGGCACGATGGCACCCACACGCGCCCAGCACCAACACAACACGTTCAACAATCCTCCAGTGACCTCAGAGTGCGTGAAGCACACGGAAGAGATACCGCTGTACATCTTGCTGCGAGGAAGAGGAGTGTCAGTGTCGGTGCTGGCATGGATCTTGGACGTCAGCCAACGGAGGGCGTAGAAGGGAGCAGATCCTGATGGGAGTAGCAGGAAGAAGAAGACACGAACCTGAGGCACGAGAACACGAAGAAACGAACGGACCCAGCGCCGACACACTGCTTCCACGTCCGAATCTCGGCACATGAATCAGGCGGAGGAGATACCGCTGTACATGTGCCAGGGGGAAGAGGGATTTGAGCATCGGCGCTGCTTTGGACGTGGAACGTCGTGCGGGGTTCGGGAACGTCGGTGAAGGAGAATTAGAAGGGCGAGGAAGGAGTGTAGGAGTGGAATGAGCACGATGAGTCACGGTGTTGGGACGAGTAGCTAGTCCCCGTTAGACTCAAGGCCAAGTGTCGTTGCCGGCGGGCCGATCCGTGGTGTGGTCCGGAGCCCAGGTAGTAGTATGGCAGCGTGAGCAGTCGTCGAGGTTGACAATGAGAGCGCGTAGCGTTGTAAAGCCTGCCAGCTAGCCAGGGGGACGGTCGAGGCGTCGGCCGACTCAGCTGACATAATGATCTCGCACGCACTTCATTAGGGCAGGCCGCGCCAACATCGTGTCATCGACCCACACCAGCACCTTTCGTTCAATGAAGACGACGATGGCCCCGTGCAAGCTCCTCAGACGTTATCCTGTGTTTCGCATCTTAGCTCGATCCCCTCTGCAGTGTTATGCAACCATGTCCCCCCCCCTTCGGCCTCCTGCAACACCTCATAGCTTCGGGCGAGGTCTCCCTTCAGTGTTCGGTACACAGTTAGCTATCCATACCTGCTTTCGCATTGAAACGCCACCTATTCATTCAACTCGTAGGGCTCTCGAATCGTCAAGTGAACGAATGCGGAAAGGAGACGAAATGGAGGTTGCTTAGAAGCTGGCAGGTGAAGAATACGGCTGCGTTTGTTTCTTTGGCACCAGATGAGTCTTATCGCCTCTTTTTTCTTCTTCTCTCCCCCCTTCGCCTTTCCGTCGCATCCTCGATCTTCCACACAGCACCGTGCCGATCTTGGAACCCCTCTAGTCAACAGTCCTCCATTCGCTCCCTGTCCTTCGGTCTCTCGTTCTTGTTATCTACCCCTCCCTGTCCGATCCCCTCGCTCTTCCATCTTCTACTTAGTCTCAATCTTGACGCATATATTCGCTCTAGATGCCTTCAATCCCACGTACGTACCCCATACCGCGTCGTACTTCAACCTGCTCGTCGATTGGGTCTTATCACAGCCGGAGCGTACGTGCCCCTTTGTTCTGTACAATATAAAAGCTCACTCGAAACCCAGATTGCCCTGCACCCATCCGTGCAAGGCGAACTTCGTTGGCCCTCCGAGTCGTCCCAGCCCCCACCTGTCTTCGCTTCCTCCTCTCCTACCTACCTATAACCCCTTCTCCCACGGACCACCTCTATCAACTCGCCCATCGATGCTCAAATACCCTATCATGCATCAGTGCAAGCTTTCGAGGTAAGCTTCCGAGCCTCTTGCCATCGATCTTGCCCTTCCGGCTCCTTCTCTCTTCTCCCACTCTCCTCTCCATGCCATGCCATCCCGACGACCCGGCCGCTATCTAACGTCCCCGTCCGCGTCTTCTCCCCCGCCTACCCTCGTGGCGAAGCATCCTCGGGCCCGTACCGCTTCATGGACACTCGAAACGAGTTAGTGGAACATGGGAGTGCAGACGGGTGCTCCTGCAATCAGAAGCCGTGTCGCTTCCGCTGTTTGAGTTTGACCTCGTTGAGTCGTTCATGTGGGCGGTGCATGCATTGCGTCCCGGATTACAGGAGGGGCCTAGCCTCCGACGCTGTCCTAGGGCCTCGAGAAGTAGGATGGAATTCCACGTCGCGCTCGAATATCTGTCTTATGCTCTGCCTTTCAAACACCTCCCATTCTCTCAATCAAAAACTCCACGCACCGTACACATTCCCAACCTAACCCAATTCGCCAACCTCCAACTCTGTACCACGTGCACGACACATACACGCCCCATACGCAAGCTCATCCGAGTGGGCGTCGTGATAATCTATCCGCCTACGTTCGGTGTTTTTGCTCGGCATAATAGATATTGGATGCAAAATATGCTCCATGCACGCATATGCTTATGTGTAGTCTCATCCCCAGCCGATTTGGGTAATTCGGTAAGCAGTTAGGGCCGGCTGCGCAGATGCTGACGTCACATTCTCGCCCATCCTCTTGCATGTCGCGTTGACTCTCACCAGCATCTCTACAAAGACAACTCCTTTGACTCCTTTACATATATCTCGTACCCACACTCTTACAGCGCTTTGCAAAAATAATGGCAGTCAGGCGATCGAACAAACATATTACATCAGTGATGGACTTAGAAATTTTGGCCACGTCAGTGACTTAGTCGATTCCTGCGGTTGTTCGAGCTCAAGCTCCTGCAATTTTCCTCTCAATCCTCAAGGATCTTTTCAACCGACTCGTCACCGACCCTGTTCTACATATGCTCCTTCGGCCTCGTAACTGTAACACTTGAACACAAGAAGGCACTTTGACAGTGTTCATACTCAAATCGGACATCAACATCGAAGACGATAACGACCTCCATCCAACCCAACAGTGTCCTCTCCAACCTCCAGCCACCGCCTCTCTGCTATCCTCTCTCGCCCTCTCTCGCCGTCCTCGCTGTCGCCTGCCTCGCTGCGGCGCGCAAAGGCCAAGACAACAACATGGACATGTGCACCGACACCACCAATGGTCATGGCACCAGGCCACACGGTGCCCTACCTCCGCTTCACCCCAGGTGCAGAACAATATGGGTCGAGGGGTGGGTGCCGAGCTTTGCTGGCTGGCTAACACAAGTGTGGGTATGTTCTTGTTGGTGAAGGTGAATTGCGGGTATCAGGGCAGGGCCTAAGGTGGTTTGGAGATGGAGGTAAGCGCTAAGCAGCTGCCTTGGGATTCTGGGGATATCTGACAGGTTCCTTTTTCATAGGGAACAGATCCTCTAGTCTCGAGTTATGACCTAATCCAGTGATGCAAAGCAAAATGTGAAGTCCTATGCTCTGGTCTTTGTCTGCGTCCTCGGGCGCCCACCTCCAGCGCACAAACCTCCCTGCCGCAGCTTGGGAGGCATATTAGTGCAGCTCGCAATTGGTCAGCCCATTGGATCTGTATTTTGGTGATGCAGAATGGATAGGCTCGTTAGTGGTTGTATACGATCCAATTTTATATTTTATCCAAGGAATCATGGAAATTCTTGTGCATATTGCGTCCTCGCATTGAGTTTGCAGACCATTGTCCCTCTGGAATGCAAACTGTACCCTCCTTCCGTGGTGCAAAAACCATAACTTCTCTCAGCGGGAGGTCCCCGAGACCGCAGCGAGGCGGACCTCTGTGGTAAATTATGCGGCAGCGCCTGGGCTCGAACCTCGGCCAAATTATCTAAGTCCGTGCCCCGCTGATTTTTTCTAAGTCCATCGGTGATGTAATATATTTGTTCGATCGCGCGACTGCCATTATTTTTGCAAACAGCTGTAATCTCCACTCCCTCCTTCAACTTCATCGATCATCACGAACTGGTGCCTCCTCCCACTTGTCAGCTTCCCACTTCACTTCGACCTCCTTCAAGCTCCGACTCCATACATCTTTGGACCTCGAGTTACTACGACCACGACCTCCTCGGGCTATCCCGCACTCGCTGTTACATCCAACGGTCTCGTACCCCAAGCACCTTTGCCTGTTGTTGGACTCGCGCAACTACTGGCGAACGCGCGCAGAAAGCGCATCAGAAAGGCGGTTGGTTAGATGGTGGCACGTGAATGACACGACTGGGATTGCTCTTACGGGACTAGGTAGGTCTTCCCACTCGTTCTTTTGTCTTTCAATCCCTTCGTCCTCCTTTTCGATGCGATGTCTTCTCAAACCCCCTCTCTCCCTCGCCCACCCCTCGCCCACCTCATACACGCTCCTCCATCCCCTTCCGCTCCTTTCCTTATCCCCTCCCTCCCCGTCGTCGACCCACACGGCTCGTACCTCCTCTCCTCTATCCGTTTCGCCCCGTGGACGCTCGAAACGGGCTCTTGGGAATCAGAGATGTAGACGGGTGGCTTTGAAGTCAAAAGCTGGTTCGAACTTCGCGTCGTCTCTGTTCGGGCTCAGGTTCGGGCTCGCTCGTCCGTTTGGTGGGGAGTCGAAATGGTAAAATCTCATCTGAAGGACAAATTGGCGTCTGGATTATCGGAGAGGCCTAGCACTAGCAGTGGGCGATGCTTTCCTATGGCATCGAGGAGTGGGATGGGAATGTACATCGGGCTCGAATGTCTGTCTTACGCTCCTCCTCCTTCCAAATTTAGAGTCTTTTTTTCTCGAGCTCTCCCAGTATTCACGTTCTTGAACACTTCCTCTTCTCTACTCCGACACACCCCCACTCCAGTTATAATTACTTATGCACCACGTGCGCGACGCATACACGGTCCATGCGCAAGCACATTCGAGCGGGCATCGAGATAATTCTCGGCCTATGCTCGGTGTTTTTGCTTATATTGCCTGTGAAATCTGCGTCGTGCACGTAACGCGTAAGTACATAAGTGGATTCGAGTACTCAGACCCTTTGCCAACATAGACGTCGTTCCGCGGCATATCTAGTACATCGTTTGGGCCGGAACTCAGACGCTGCGGGGGTATGTAGAAGGTAGCAGGAAGGCCGTGGAAGGTGGTCGAAGAGAGGTCGAAGAGTCAGCCACACATGATGGCGTTGACTGGGTTTGGGCTTTCGACCTGTAAATGTTTCCTTCTCGTTCTTATGCTCCCAACTCCACAATCTCTGTCTTTTTCCAGAACACTCTTCTGTTCAACACATACTCGTACTTCATCCGCGAACGCGGCAGCAGTTCAGTTTTGATACCCCTCTCTGCTCTCGCCTTCTCATATCGTGTACCCAAACCCCCGCAACCGTCCATCGGCCAGATGAGGCCGAGACAAGCAAGTCCATATTCTCCGAACAAACGAGGGGTGGTCACTCTCTCGAATTTCTCAGGTTCAGACATATCACTGCCGTAACATACAATCTTTCTCACTGCAGACAGATCCTGGGATGGAACGGTGTCAAACCGTGTCCGCTAATGCAGTCGGCGGGGCTCACAGTGCCGTCATGCTTTATTTAGGCTTTGCTCGTCCTCTGGCGTTCTGTATATTTTTGGTCGTTCGTCTATTTACGGACAAAACACTCCGGGTCGTTGTCATTGAAACATGCTTCGCCGTGTTGAAAGGATCGGACCTGATCATGGGCGGTTGGCTATTCTAGGTCAGCGATCCTGTTCCCTTCTTTCCCTTGTACTCTTCACGTCTCGCTATCTTTCACCAGTGAAGTTTCACCTTGCCGGACCTATACCATGTTCAATTCAAGTCAGAATGTTCAGATTCACGACTCCAACCTGTCTGTTGTGACGTACAATCAGACAGTTCACTTGGGTGTTTCAAAAGGTCCGCAGATGTGTTAAATCTCAACCCGCTGTCCACGCTCACGCACAGTGCGAAAGGGTTCGATTTTCTCCAGAGCATGGTGTGTCCCAATGCCTTTCACGACTCAGACGACCGCCCCGACCCGCCCAAATGCCACGAGAACACACGTGTTGCCATTATCGCCAAGATCATCGATTGGATAGAGGGAAGGATCGACACCGATGCCCTGATCTTCTGGCTGTTTGGCCCAGCGGGGTCGGGAAAGTCCGCCATCGCACGTACTCTAGCTGAACTGTGTGAAGCTCGTGGTCTCCTGCTCGCCAGCTTCTTCTTCTTCCGCAGCGACCCAGGGCGAAACACCACCAAGTCTCTCATCGCGAGCATTGCCTACTCTGTCGCCCTTACCATCCCTCCATCTCGTGCCCTCATCGAGAGCGCAGTGGAGACTAATCCCCTCATTTTCCGATATTCTCTCGATATCCAATTCACGAAGCTCGTTATTGAGCCTCTCCGGCAGCTCATGGACTCGAATGTGTTTTCGCAGATCCCGTTCCCCACCCTGATCATCATTGATGGACTGGATGAGTGCGTCGCCCCGAAACAACAGTCCAACGTCCTCACCACTCTCACGCGCTGCGCATCCCGAAGCGGCTTGCCTCTCAAGTTCCTCATTGCGAGCCGTCCAGAGCAAGGCATCAAATTCTCTTTTGACAAGGTCCGGCCCCGCTCTATGATCACTTCACTTGAGCTAGATTACGACTACTGTACACGGGAAGACATTAAAACGTTCTTGTATGACAAGTTCTCCGAAATCACCCAGTCTCATCCGTTTCGCTCACTCCTTTCGCCTTCGTGGCCATCGCAGCCCCAATTGCACGCCCTCGTCGACAAGTCGTCTGGCCAGTTTATATATGTCTCTCTTGTTATACGGCACATCGACTCTCCCTTCCATTTACCATCAGATCGGTTGGATGCTGTGCTCGAACTTCGGCCCCCAGAAAAGGATCTTCCTTTCACGGAGCTCGACGCCCTGTACACTCATATTCTTACGGGCGTTACTGATCTTCCAACAGTACTAGAGATATTTGGAATGAAATTCGCCATACAATTTTATCCGGGGCCGGACAATGGCTGCGGAGATATAGAGATGATCGAAACAATCATGGGACTTCGTGCAGGGGACGTGTCCATTGTGCTCAGCGGACTGAGTTCCCTCCTGAAATGCCGAGATGGCTACATCACGATCCACCACTCGTCACTTCTCGATTTCTTGCAGAATGAGAGGAGGTCACAAAGATTCTTCATTGACGTTCAGGAGGTGCATACCAAGATTGCCCACTGGGTTCTGCGGTCACTTCAGCTCCCAGATTATGGTACGTCCTTATTTGACGTCGGACGTGCTCTCTGTCTCATCCCACGATCAGCGCAGCGCCCGTATCGTGTAATATTCTGTGTCGGCATGGCATGGCAGCTTAAAAATGCCAACATCACAACAGAACTTGAAGATGACCTACGGAGTTTCGACCCCATCCAATACACTTCATCCCCGGAGTTCTCTTCTTGGGATTATGGCGATATTCTATGCCAATTCCGGCGAGATTTTTTAGTTCCGTTACAAGACCAGGTAGGTAATTCCTATACCTAGTGACCACGAGGCATTAATCCGAGCGGACAGGAAGCACAGTACCTGTACCTTTATTATCATGAAATGCTCAGCACAATGGTGGAGAGCTGGACACGACAAATGTTCCACTCCCCATCGAAATATTCCCTACTAACAGCATGCTTCTTCCTCATACGCAACGGATCGAGGTCTGAGATCAGTCTTACCGATTTCGCTAATCGCCATTTCACTGGCTTTACCGTGTTCACATCCCGGGGATTGACCTGGCCTCTGTTCTGCAGCTTGGTCTTCGGCTTCGACCCGGACGACGAAGTGCACAAGACCTTTGACATTAACGAGACCCGGGCTGGTGCTGCCTCGGAACTCATGCCACTGTCGTCACATCTAAGATTGGTTTGTGGAATTCCCGAGACGACAAAATCTCTGCTCCCTGACCACATGAACACTGGACACATCATCCGCGTCGCCCTGGCGTGCCTCCGTTACCTCCATCGCAATCCACCAAGGACTCGCCGGCGCCAATTCAGGTTTCTCCATCTCTGGGCCCGAAGATCAACCCGTTCTCCTTGGACAACGAAGCGACGGACACAAGCGCTATTGGGTCTTGGTGCGATGCGCCAGCAGTATGGCCTCCGACTGATTCACCAGTGCTGGAAGCCACGGCTCATGGAAGCAGAGCATTTCTCCGATAGAACACCAGCACAAAAATTGCGCGTTCAGCATCGTGCATGGTACAGGAACGCTGGTGCCTTCTATGCCAAAGAATACCAAGCAGTACAGTGGTCATTTACTCTACTTCGGCGAGCTATTATGCTGGCGACCGAATCTGAAGAGTTGACCGCAGCGCTTTCGAAGTCCTTGGCACCTTACGAACTCTTCTTTCCTCGGTTCACGAAGCATGTCAAGAATGCAAGGAACATTTACCTACAAAAGGTGAGTTATTCGACTTTTCGATTGCAACTTACTTAGGCGCATTCCTGCTCCTTGAAGATCGCATCAACACCTCGGTCGAAAGATGTTCTCGGAGAGCTCATGCTGAAGGAGCCTGAAATGTCGGAGAGCGGTGTTGAGGACGCCTCCTCATCGAATAGCGAGTCTAGTGAAGAAGGGTACACGACGTGCCCTGATTAGAGGTGTGCACAATGTATAGATCGCGAACATTACATACCTATTTTGGACGTGAAAAGGGCTTTGGCAAGCCATTCATGTGCGATCCATACCCGCTCACGAGGTATCAATACTCCGGCCTGTTGAGGTACCGTCTTTTGAGGACTTCGTCCTAGTGAACCTCAGACAAAATGTGTAAGGATAAAGTACGATAATCGGACTCACGGGTTCGGATTTGTGGAAATGTACAGCATCTGCGAGGAAAAAAGACAGGGATCAGCACGGAACCTTCAGCCGTCATAAGACAGGCTTGCATACGAGGTGGTCGAGGACGAGGGGGTACGTTTTCCGAATGGTGAATTTATGGTATCTAGGACGGATATAAGTATCGGAATAAGCAGAATGCGGAAGAATGAAGAGGGGCGTAGCGAGTAGGCATCAGGCAAGAGTGTGAGTGGAGTGGGACAGTGAAGGGAAGGGGAGGAGTGTGATAGAGCACGAAAGCGGCGGAGGAGAGGGTGCGTGAGTGTGGGAGTATAGGAACGAGACGGATAGTACCTCGCAGGAGAGCCAAATCCAATCAGGGTCAAGCACGACTAACTCTCCGACCTCCCTTCCCTCACCATCACCACCCTTCTGCAGAGCTCCGGAGCATCTCCGTCCCAACCGACATGGTCTGATAGATATGACAAGGTACGACGTTCCGAAATGCTAGCAGAGGGCCCGAGTGCTTGAAGCCCCATATGTACGCGTTACGTACGTGCACGGCGCCTACTTCGCTGCAAATGAGCAAGAACACCGAGCGTGGGCTGATAGATTATCTCGACGCCTACTTGGATGTCCTTGCGAATGGACCGCGTATGCGTCACGCACGTGGATAACAGCGTGGTACAAGCTTGGAGGTTTGGGAATTGAGCTGTGAAGGGAACGCGTACGGTGTGTGGCGTATTTGGGTGAAAGAATGGGAGGGGTTCGAAAACCTGGATACCACATGAAGCGCAAGAAAAAACTTGGAAATATGGAGGGAGGCGGACGGCGAGATGGATATCGAGTGTGACGTGGAATGCCATCCTACTTCTCGAGGCCCTAGCACAGCGTCGTCAGCTGCTGTTCGATCTCTCCCATAATCCAGACACCAATATGTCCTTGAGACGGAATACCATTTCAACTTCCCACCAGCTGCACGAGCTCCGACGATGACGACGAAATGCACCCGTTTCTGACCGCGAAGATACCCGTCAGCATTCTTGCTTTTCACTGACTCGTTTCGAGCGTCCATGGCGCGATATAGACCCGAGGATGTTTCGTCACGAGAGCATGTAAGAAAGCGGACGGGGACGGGGATGTTAAGTAGTGGCCAGGCGGGATGGAGAGGAGAGAAGAGGGAGGATAGGATCGAGGACGGGAGACTTAGAAGTATACCTCGAAGACTCGTTCAACTTCCCACCAAAAGGATGAGTGCGCCCGAACCTCAACAGCGACATTGACACGAAGTCAGAACTAGATCCCGACCACGAAGATACCCATCTGCACCTCCGTGTTCTCCTGACTCGTTTCGAGCGTCCACGGGACGATACAGGTCCAAGGATGCTTCATCACGAGAGCACGAGAGGGAGGGGATGCAGACGGGGATGTTAGGTAGCAGTCAGACAGGGTGGGATGGGACGGATCAGATGAGAGGCGAAAAGAGAGGAGGGTAAGAGTCTCGAAAGACGTACTTACCTCAAACATCCGGGCGAATGCTGATGGGATACTTGAGGATCGACGGATGAGTAGATTTGGAAATTGGAAGGCAGGCGACGGCGATGGCCTTCGGCATGGGCATGGACGAGCTTCTACTATAGTTCGGCCTGAACGAGCGCGTGCAGGTGCGGGACTCTAGAAGCCCCAACCAGCTCGAGCATGCGGCAGAAGGGAATCGTTCGTACATTATCGGAAGTCCAGGGCGAGCAGCTGGGGACGTGGCGGCGCGGGGTATGTAGGTGGAGTTGTGAGCACCTAAAGTGGATGTAAGTGTCGGGGTAGACAGAACGTAGAAGAATGATGGGATGAGGGATAGGAAGGAGAGAGGAGGTACGAGCCGAGCGGGTCGCTGACGGGCAAGGAGGGGGGGAAGACAAGAGCAGAAGGGATGGAGAAGCGTGCAATAGGTTGGCGAGGGCTGTGTGTGCTAAGAAAAGACGGCGCGATGAAGAACGAGATGGGGATTGGGAGGAAGAACATCGCATCACATCGGAAAGGGGAGGGTGGACGTAGAGGGGTTGGAGTACGAAAGAACGAGAAGGAAAGGCTCACCTGGTCCCAAGGGAAACATAATTTAACCACCCGCCCTTCTCATCTCCCTTCAGCGTGCGTTCGCCAGCGGTCGCCGGTCACGCGGATCCAACGAGAGGTGTCGATGAATGCTTAGGATACGGGACCAGCGTGCGCACGAGCGAGTGCGAAAGTCCTAGAGGAAGCTTGGCATGAGCTAGTCGTGGCAGAAGTAACTCGAGAGATGGGTAGGTCGGCGCGATGTCGGAGGAGGTCGAAGTGGGCTGCAGGCGATTGCGAGCAAGCGAGCACCTGCACATGTTGCACGATGACCGATGGAGCTGAAGGGGTGGGGTCGATGTTAGAAGGGCCGGGGCGTAGTGCATGAGCTATGTTCGGACATTTGTCATTATGTCAGCATCTCGAGCAGCCTGCCCTAAACTGCTCACCCCAATGTTGCCGACTCCCACTTTGACTCCGACCTCGACGACGTGTGGCTCTTCCTCACTTTCCCTCGTCTTCCCTCTCGCTCACATTATGACGATCCGTTCTCGCTTCTCTCAGGCTCTCCTTCCCCCCACTGTAACCTCCCCCCCTCGTTCCTCGCCCTTGCCACGCCCCAGCGCCGACGTCTATAGCTTTCTTCCTCCCAGCAGGTACACGGATGTACAGTGATATCTCCACGCCCTGAGAGGTATTATAGAAGTAATACAAGTCGGCGCTGGGCAAGTGCGTGGTTTTGTGCATCTGGTATCTCAGTGCCCGCCTCCCATCCTCTCCTCTCCTGGCCGGTCCCTGTAGCGACTCAGGCTGGTCGTTCATCCCAACATCAGCACCGCCACGACCCGACACGCTGCGACTTGGGCTCTGCATCACCGTCTCTCGCCTTCCCCCTCCACTCTTCTCTTTCTACCTCATTTCCATTCCACTTCACTCTCCTGCCCTCTGATGTTCTACGCCCACACCAGCGCCGATACTCGATCCCTTATCCCCCAGCCAAATGTGGATGTGTAGGCGTGTTTCCTCCGTCTGCTCCACGCGCTGAGAGGTATCTGGCGGGTAATGGACATCAGTGCTGGATCCGCGAGTGCGTGTCTTCGTGCCGTCGTGCTCCGCGTCTTCTTTCCCGCTCCTCGTCACTGCCCACCCTACTCCACTCTCCTTGGCCCGCCAGCCTTCGCCGACGTCCCACGTCCATGCCAGCGCCGACGCTCAGATCCCTCTTCCTCCCAGCCCGACGTGGATGTGTAGGCGTGTCTCATACATCTCGTTCACGCGCTGAGAGGTCCCGGGGGGAAACCGTATGTCAGCGCTGGGCTCTTACGTGCATTTTCGTGCTATCATGCCATCCCCCACTCCCACTCCTTCCCTTTTCTTCCTACTGTCTCACGTCTCACACCCAGCGCTCGCACCAGCGCCGACACTTTGACCGCCCTTCCTCTCAGCGTGTATGGAGATGTACAGACGTGTCTCGTACATCTGGTTTACACACTAAGATTTCACTCCATGGCGACTTTCTGTGGGTGCTGGGCTTCTGCGTGCGTGCGTGGATGTCATTCGACTCTGGGCTCGAATTACGTAGGGCGAGGTGTCATTTCTTATAACTATGGAAGATGCCACCAGTCCTTCGCCTTCGTCCAAGTCCAAGTCCGTCAACACAGATATTGATATCCCTCTACGTAGTCTCTTTCTCGCCAGAAAGCACGACATCGGACATCCTAATCGGTTAGCTGCAATTCGATTAATGAGTAGGGGGTGGTTGAGGTTGGGAGGGTACGCGGATCTTTTGGATCTGGGGCGGATACAATATATATGAAGAAGGATAGGCGGAATACGGGAGGTTGAAGAAGAGCAACAGAGGTATAAGCGAGGAAGACGATGAGGCAATGAGGCGAGGAGAGAGAAGAAGGAGCGAGGAACAAGGGAGGAGGGAGGAGTGTGATATACTCGCGATCGGAGCGCGAAGACGGCGGAGGGGAGGTTATGTGAGTTGGGGAGTATAGGAACGAGAGGAAACACTTACTCGAGTAGGCCGTAGGAGGCATAAGTCCAATCAGCGCCACACCTCCCTTCTACAGACCGCTGCGCCGCAGGGCCTCGGATTTAAGTAGCGCTAAGACGACGGAGGGAGGGTACGTGAGTTGACGTTGGGGAGGTAGGAGACTCAAGCTCAAGCATGGTCAGGAGCATCCACGACCACCTCTTCGGCCTCTCTTCCCTCACCATCTTTCTATGTACAGGGCCACGCAGCATCTGAGTTCTGGCACTTTTTGGCTGGGAGAAGGGGAAGTGTACGCGTTCGGATATCTGAATATTGAATGCTAGGATAGTGCGAGAAAAGACACGAAAGCAGGGCGAGAAGCCGTACGTGTGGTAGATGGATGTTCGAGCGCGATGCGGAATCCCATTCCATTCCTCGATGCCCTAGCCCAGCTTCATCAACAGCTGGATCTCTGCCATAATCCGGACCGCAATATGCCCTTGAGACGAAATACTGCTTCAACTTTCCACCAAACGGACGAGCCCGAACCCGAATAGCGAACGACGACACCGACTCAGCTTCTGACCGCAGGAACACCCGTGCACATCTTTCCTCCGTGTTCTGCTGACTCGTTTCGAGCGTCCACGGGGCGGTACGGGCCCGAGGGTGCCCGGTCACGAGGGTAGGCGGGGAAGAGGATGCGGACGGGGATGTCAGGTAGCGGCCGGGGTGGATTTACCTCGAAAATTTGCATTGACACATGACGGGGTGCTTGAGGTACAGAACAAAGGGGCTTGTACACGGGAGGGTGGGGAGGCTGAAAAAGGAGTGGGAGCGGTTGAGGAGAGTGATAGTGGGGAGGAGCGGGAAGACGAAGATACGAGCCCAAAGCACAATACTAATAAAATGCACGTACCCAGCGCTGAGAGATTGAATCCCTGATTACACGAATAAGGCGGAGGGGGGCGCGTCACACATCCGTGAATCCAAGCGTCTACTGGCAGGAGGAGGGTGAGTCGCATGAGATGGCGATAAGGGCGAGGAAGGAGGGTGAGAGTGGGGGAAGGATCGAAGCGATCGCTATGATCATGACGAAAGCAAAAGCAAAAGTGAAGATGAGAGGGAGCCACACACGTTCATCGCAAGGTAGAGGTGAGGCGAACGAACTTGCTGAGGATACGGGACATCGATGGAGATTCGAGGAGAGCAGGCGCGGCAAGGGCCGGTAGTTTAGGGCAGGCTGTGCGAGATGATGACATAATGTTCAACCCCTTCTTCGTTTGACTGCAGCCTGCTTCGACTTTTCGGACAAAGAGTGCAGGCCCTTTTGACCTTGACCCCACCCTCCTTCAGCTTCATCGACTGTCGACCATCGACGTCGATCCAATCTAGCCGCCGCTTCTCGTCCGCACCCTCTTCTTCACATACCCTCGTGACGATGTGTCCTCGGGTTCGTTTGGCCCCTCGATACTCGAAACGAGTGACTTGTACAGGATTGCGCGCGGACGCGTGGTTCGCGCACTGGGTGGAAAGTTGAATGTTGTCTCCAGGACCAGAGTAGAGGATTCTTGCCGCCAGGGCCGAATGTCGCAGGGCGACCCGCCCAGCGGCCAATGATATCATCCATTGTACTGTGCTCTGACACGGGATAGGATGGGATAGGAACCGATTTTACGTCTAGGTGGTCCATCTAGCTGCCCGTCAGTTGGGTTTTTCCTATTTTCTTGGACCACTATCGAGTCGAATTTCACTGTCCTTTCTTTTTGATTTCCTTTCTTTTCTCGTAGGACTGCGATTGCCTTCAAGCCTTCTCTCAGCGCCCATCCCATCGATATCGTGTCACGGTCTACAGGGAATATCGCGGTGAGGACAATCTCGGAGTTCGATACCACGATGGCGAGGTGGAGTAGTCCCTCTCTCGCATGTAGCCGTGACAAATAACTCTCTCAATTCACTCCTGTCCTTCTGAGATCACTGTAATCTCCAAATCGATCCAATGGATCCACCTTGGCCTCATGATCTCGCGATCTCTTTCAATCGTCTGCCCCTCCTCTCTCTCTCCCTTCCACTCGCGGTGATAATTCCTGTAATGTATGCGCGAGGATAAAATACGAGATTGGCTTTGTATACGACAGCAGAAAACTTGAACATGGGGCGACGAAGAATGGAATTGGCAGATGCACCGGCAAGCGCAATCTGTGAACGACTCGAGAGTGTAAAGTCGGAGATACCACCAATATAAATATGCCGGGAGCAACTTCAGCGTTGAATAAAGGCCCGACAGATATGATTTCTATCACGAGCGCAGCTAGTGGAATACGTACGCGATATGAATCTAGATGCACCACTGAAAGACAACAAGTGTAGACTGATATGTTATCACAATGTATAGTCTCTCTGGCTGTGTTTATAGCATGGCGTGTGGTGTATCGCGCACGTATAGCAGCTGCGGGCTCAGGATCAACGTCAGTGGGTCAAGGGCGAAGACACGCCCATGATCCCAGCACAGCGACGAAGTTACTGATACTCTCAGGGCGTGAATAAAGCAGAAACACTGCTGTACATCCACGTTCAGCTGGGAGGAAGACATATTCGTCATCGGCGCTGGGGATGGGGCAGATGTTATCTATGTGCCATTTGAGAGGGTGGCGAGGAGAGTGGGAGGGTGTCAGGAGAGCAGATGGGAGGGGATCGTGGTGGGGAGCGTGAAAAAGACACGAGCTGGAGGTACGAAACACACGAGAACTCACGTATGTACTACGAATCCAGCGCCGGCACACGGGTATTCTTCTGGACTCTCAGGGTGTGAACCAGACGGAGGGTTACGTCTGTGGATCCACGTTCCTGCTGGGAGGAGGAAGAGGGCGAGCCAGCGCTGGGGTGAACATCAAACGTGAGATAGCGGCAAGAGCGAGGAAGGAGAGATAAGAGTAATTTATCTGACGGAGGAAGGAAAGGGAAGGTGAGGTCTAGTGAGTGAGGGCTACACAGGTTCATGGAGGTCGAAGTCGAACTGGGACGAACGAGCACTCGGCAACGTTGCTGAGGATACGGGATAATCGATAGAAGGAGAGCAAGTCGGGCACGGTAGAGCGGGGAAGAGTCGCATGGTTTAGGGCAGGCTGCATAGACGTCACATTCTCACCCAACCTCTCACCTCTTGCATGCCGCGTTGACTCTGACTCGCACCTCTCGTTCGACCTGGAGCCTGCTTAGCCTCTTCTGACGTGTAGCCCCGACCATTCCAACCTCGACTCCACCCACTTCGGTCTCCTTCCACACCGTGCCGACATGTCTGTGGACCTTCCTCGAGCCCTCCTGCACTCGCCCGTACACCAGATAGTCTCGTATCCCAAGCACTTTTACTCTTGCCTCTCGGTGCATTCTCGGGACCGCTACACGACCATACGCGGACAGGGCAGGAGAAGGGCGAGCAGGCAGTTAGAAGGTGGCAGGTTTTTATCGGGACCAGGCGAGTCCCAATCGTTCTTGTGTCTTTCGGTCCCATCGCCCGCCTTCCTTCCCATGCGATCAATGTCATTCGTCCCGATCCCAATCCCCGCTCTTCTTCGTCACACCCTCTCTCCATCGTCACACCCTCTCTCCATCGTCACACCCTCTCTCCATCGTCACACCCTCTCTCCATCGCCCACCCATCGCCAACCTACTATACCATTACGCTCCCCCATCCCCTTCCGCTCTCGCTTGTCACTCCCCTCCCTGCCTGTCGGCGATCCACTCGGCTCATACCCGGGCCTCTTCTCTTCTCATTCTTCATGCCCTCGTTCTTCCAAGATAATCTCCACCTATCTTGAGGCATACATTCATCTTAGGTGCTCGCAACCCCACCTACATGTGTCATCGCGCCCCGACCTGTTCGTAAAGAGCGTCCGAGCACTCCACTTACGTACACGCCACTCCCTTCCGCATCTTCGAGCTGATTGGGCTTATAGGTCCCTGCATCGAACTCGTTACGCGAACACCGTCCATGTCCAACGCCGTCGCAACCTCCCACCCTTGCTTTCGCTTTGTCCTGTACCGCCGACCTCTGACGCCTTCTTCCACCCCCACATCGACTCACCCGGCGATCCTCAATCATTCGTTCATGTTCGTCCGAATGTTCGAGGCGAGTATCCCTTCGAGTCTCTTACCCCCGATCCTGTCCTTCCGGCTCCTTCTCTCCTCTCCTCTTCTCCTCCCCCATCTGCCGCTTCTCGTCCGTATCCTCTTCTTCGCATACCCTCGTGAAGATGCGTCATCGGGACCATTTGGCCCACCGACGCTCGAAACGAGTCAGACATGAAAGCAACCATGCGGACGCGTGGCTGGCGCGCTGGGTGGAGGTTCGAGCGTTATTTTGTGTCCAGACCTAGGGCCCTTTTCATCGGCGGGGCGGGCAAAACGACAACGCCGTTCGGCGTGCTTTTGCCCAGGATGGGATATGTATCGATTTCATGTCTAGGTGGTCCATCTAGCCGCCCGTCCGTTGGGTTTTTCCCATTTTCCTGGACCTTTTTTTTGGCCTCGGAGACGGAAGGCCATTCTATTGGCATCGATGCTCTTCCAAATCCTATTCCGCTCGGCTTTTCTTTCTTTTCTTTTCTTTTCTTTTTACAATTGCGATTCCGTCCGCACGTTCTCTCAGCGCCCATCCAATCCCATCGCTTCAGGGTCTACAGGGCAAAGATCGTGGTGAGGGCGGTCTCAGAGAGCTCGGGACGCAGACGGCGACATGTAAAGCACTCCATCAATGTTCGCCTAAGTGTTCCAGGTAAGTATCCCTTCCAGCCTCATGGCTTTTCCAACCCCCCGTGCGCATCCTCTTCCTCGCATACCGTCGTGACGAGGCATCTTCGGGACCATTTCGCCTCGTTGACGTCCGAAACAAGGTTCTTGTGAAGGACGGTAAGCGCACGTGTGGTTCGTCCCGTCGGGAGGCATTTGGACGTTACTCTATGTCATCTTCAGGTTCAGCAAGCATTTGCCGTCATGGCGGGATGACACAGGCAGCGGCCGATGGCACTGCACGTGCTATAGCCCGGCACAAGATTGGATGGGGTGGGAGTCAGTTCCATGTCGACATTGGCCATCTAGCCGTCTGTTGGTTAGGTTCTCGCTTACCTCCTTCCTAGGGGGAGGATCCGCACGATTTCAACCTTGGCTGTGCCATGGATTCAGATATTTGGTGTCCGACGTGCTCTCCAGCTTCTTGGGTCTTTTTCTTTTTTCCTTCTTTCCCTGAGATGGAAAGTCATTCGTTGGTAGGGGTGTCTATCGCTATTGAGAGCATTCTGAATTCAAATTCATTTTTCTTTTCTTCCTTTTTCCTGCTTTCTCCGATCGTGATTCCGTTCAAAAAATTGCTCCGTGCCCATCCCATCGATATCATGTCACGGTCTACAGGGCGAAGAGTGCGGTATAGGCAGTCTCGGGCTTCGAGACTGCGATGGCGATGTGGAGCAGACTCGCAGTGATAATTCCTGTAGTGTACTTGTGTACGAGGATCAAATACGAGATTGGCTTTGTATACGACAGAAGACTTAAACATGTCCCGACGAAGGATAGTACCGGCGAGCGCTATCCGTGAACAGCTCGAGAGTGTAAAGTAAAGCCGAAATATCCCCAATATGTCGGGAGCTTGAACAATTTTAGTGTTTAACACAGGCCCGAGAGTTGCGATCCCTATTGAGAGCGCAACTAGTAGAGTACGTGCGCGATACGGACCACTATGCCACACTTCGACGTATAGTCTCGTTGGCTGTGTCTGTATCATGGCATGTGATGTATCGTGCACGTAGAACGACCAGCTAGGGTCTCGGGATCGATGAGGATGCAAAGGAAGGAAGGGGCCTGGCGTTTCTGCTTCTGGAATCGAAGTATCCAGGAGTCGTCTAAGGTAGCAGATGGGCGGGGGTCCGAGACTGGAATGAAAGAGAGAAGGGACGACAAGGATCTGATGGATGATAGGTCATAGGCAGGGAGGCGGGAAGATCGGGACGAGCAGGACCCACGAGCTATGCGGTACACACACGCCCAACACAGTATTCGACGAGCAGATACACAATGAATGGATGGATGTCCAGCCCAGTGATGCATCTGCAAGGCGCTGGGTCGTGTGCGTCCTGCAGGAGGAGTGGGATCGTGGTGCTCCGAATAACCGAAGTCCGTTGAGAAGACATCGGATGGTAATGGACCCAAGCCGAATTCCGGAACGAGGACGCACGATACTCATCACGAGCACCCAGCACTGTTCGACCACTACCTCTCATCATGTGAATGATAGATGTCGGAGCATCCACGTTTAGCTGCGAGGAAGGGGGAAGTGAGCATCGGCACTGGGGCTGGGGCGGATGTTGTCTACGTGCAACATAAGGTAGTGGGAAGAGCGAGTGGATAGGGGAGGATCATGATGGGGAACATGAGTCCGAAGGACGATATGACTAGGGACTAGTACGGATGCGTTTGGATAAAAAACGGATAACGCATTTTTGAGTGCAGTTCTTCACCGATTCCTCTACAACTTTGCAGAAAATAGGGAAGAGTATATTACTATATAACCCTCGAGTGATTTGTTTATAGACTCAAAATTGCATGCTTGAAATCGAAACGGATGGATGGATAGCCGATTTATCCGAAATTTCCTTATCCAGACACCCGTTTGCTTTTTCTGGCCTGCATTTTCATCCAATCTTTGTATTTTTGGAATCTACAGGTACTCCAACATCTGAAGAATATATCCACAAATTATCTTAACAAGAGAGCCTTGTTCAGAGATGCAGCAAGATTTGTGCCGGGGAGTGTCAAGTTATCCGAACTGATCCGTGCTAGTCCCTAGATATGACGAAGACACGCCCATCACCATGTGCCCAGCGCCGACCCCAAATTCTGAAATAGAACCTCTCAGTGCGTGAATGAGACGGAGGGGATACCGCTATCATCCACGTGCATGCTGGGAGGATAAGGGAATCGAGCATCGGCGCTGGTGTGGACATCGAACGAGGGGAAGCGGGAAGACGTGGGAGGAGTGGGGGAGCGGGAGCGGGAGTACGTAAGGAGAGTCGATGGGAGGGGATCATGATGGAGAGAGCACACGAGCCTGAAACGCACGGACATGTCCAGGCTTCCAGCGCCGACAGACTCCATCTCCAGAAAAGATATCCCAGAGCGTGGATCAGACGGAGGAGATACGTCTGTGCCTCCACGTTCCTTCTGGGAAGAGGAGGAGGTATTTGAGTGTCGGCGCTGGGGGAGATGTTGTCAATGGGCGTCGGGTGGAAGGAATAAGGGTGAGAGTGGGGAAGTGGGGGAAGGATCGAGGCGATCGCCATGGTCACGACAGGAGATGCGGGGGAGCCAACTTGCTGAGGATACGGGGCATCCGGTCAGTCGTTTAGGGCCGGCTGCTCAGATGCTGACATAATACTCTGGCCCCACTCGTTCGACGAAGATGCCTGCTGCCTGCTTCGGTCTTTTCAACCTTGACCGCACCCCTCGCACTCGCCAGCCTCCCGGTGCCACTTCGACTTCACTCGACCATATATCTTCGGTCCTCGATTTACTTCGTCCACACCTTCAACCAGCTCATGACCTCCTCAACCCGTCCCGCACCCGCTCATTCATCCGGTGGTCCCGTATCCTAAGCACCTTCCCCTCTCGTTGGATTCACGCAACCGCTTGCGAACGCACGTGGAAAAGAGGCGAAAAGGGCAAGGTGGTAGGTGAAGAACGTGACTAGACTCGTTCTCTCAGGACCAGGTGAGTCTTTCTTTCTCGTTCTTTCTCCCGATCCCCCTCTCTTCCTTGCTGACTGCTATTAGTATACGCTCCTCCATCCCTTCTGCTCATGTCGTCCCCCCTTGCCTGTCGGCGATTCACTCAGCTCGTACTTCCTCTCTCCTTCCCGTTCTTCGTCCGTTCGCTCTTCCAAGTTCTGCTTATCCTGACACTGACATTCACTCCAGATTCTCGCAAACCCCATACATACCCCGCGCCCTGACGTCCCAGCTGCTCGCCGACCAAGTCCTGGCACTCCAGTAACGTATGAGATACTCCCTTCCGCCGCATCTTTGGGCTAATCGGGGCAGTAGTTGAACACCATCCATGCGCATGTCCAACGCCCTTGGCCAGGCTCGCCCACATTTTCTTTCTCTTCTCCTTCCGACTCCTCACGCCTTCTTCCACCCCCGGATCTATTCGCCTGTCTATCCTCCTCAAACATTTCGTCAACATTCGCCCGAATGTTCGAGGTAAGTACGTCTTTCGAGACTCTCACCCTCGATCCTGTCCTTCCACCTCCCCTCTTTTCGTCTCTCCTCTCCATCCCGTCCCATCCCGTCCCGTCCGTCCTGCCCTGTCCGTTACCTAACACCCCCGTCCGCATCCTCTCTCTCATGCTCTCGTGACGAAGCATCCTCAGGTCTATCCCGCCCCGTGGACACTCGAAACGAGTAATGTCGGACATATGATTGACGTGGACGGGTGCCTTTGTGTTCGTTGCTGTCGGGAACTGGTTCGGACTCGCTGTTGAGGTTCGGGCTCGCTCGTCCAGTTGGTGGGAAGTTGAAGTAATATCTCGTCTCAAGGACATATAGCGCCTCATGTGGGATGGATCGAGGAGCCGGTGATGTGCCTACGGTGGGGTGATCGTGCGAATAATGAATGACAAACACACACCCAAAACACCGCAATGAGTGGCTCTGAGGTGCGAGGACAGTTCCGTGGTTGTGCGGCTCTAACCAGTGGGCGCGCGCGACTCGAAGACGGATGGCGAATGCGGGCGCTAAGCGTGGGAACGGGACGAATGAGGCAACGGCGCCTCCGGAATACGAGTGAGAGAGCGAGGAACGAGGGAGGTGAGAGACGGAAAAACGAACTAAATTTTCTATATTGTGTGAGTGTGTAGACATGGATTATATCTATGAAGAAAGAAGAGCCCGGCAAGGAAGATATCCGAGCCGTGGGTGAAGGAAGAAAGAAAAACAGAAATTTTCAGATAAGAATGAAACAGGAATGGAATAGGGGAGAGGCGGCGAGGTGGCAACTGCGTTGATGGGGGAAAAGGCTACCTAACAAGGAAAGGGTGGCGCGCCGAGCGTCTCGGTGAAACGGGAAAGAGAGGGAAAGAGGCGGTGCCGGTCACGGGACGGATGCTTTTGCTGACTGAGGATCTCCGGGTGTGTCGAGGAATCATATGGCTCGATGGGAAAGGTGTCGGGGATCGAGGGGACGACGAGAATGTGATGATGAAGGTCGAAAAAAGGGATTTACCGGGGTCAGGGAGCAGTCCGGCTCATCACCGGCTACACTGTGTTATAAGACTCCATGCCCTGGTTTCGAGCCTTTTTGGTGCCCCAGCGTCTAGGTTCTCGAACACCTCCCCATCTCTGCTCAACACTCCGCACACATTATGTGTTCCCGACCCCAAATCTCCTAGTTTGTACCCCGTGCACGCCGCTTACACGGTCCATTCGCAAGCTCATCTGAGTGGGCGTCGAGATAATTGATCAGCCTATGCTCGATGTCTTTGCTTATATGGCTTCTAAAGTTGTCGTCGAGCATGTAATGCGTGCATACGCATATATAGATTCGCGCACAAGGGGGCTGGCGTGGATTAGACGTCGTTCCGTGGTGTAACTATCAGATGATGTCGGTTGAGATCAAGATGCTACGAGGCTCTGGGGAAGGATGGCGAGGGTGAAGGAAGGGAGGTTGGAGAGTGGGTCGTACGTGTCCTCCTCCGTCGCCTTCGCGCTCTAGCACACCCCTCCTTCCTCCCTGTTCCCTTTGCTCTTTCATTATTCACTCGCACTCTCGCCCGATGCCTACTCGCTACGCCCCTCTTCTTTCTTCATTCTTCCATATTCTGCTTATTCTAATACTTATATCTTCCCTAGACACCAAAAATTCGCCATTCACAAAACGCATCCTCCCATCCTCGAATGCGGGCCTCGCACTGGTGGTCTTCACTGACTTTTTGGTAGGTGTCTTTTCCCGGAACGCCTTTCCGTTCATTTCACAACTCATACTCGTACTTCATCCGCGAACCCGGCACCCGATTCGCTGCCTCCCTGTGCTCGCTCCTTTTCACATCGTGTACCCAACCCCTGCTAGGCTAGCTACGAGCGACGCCGTCCTTCGGCTAGTCGAGGACAAGATAAACGAGGCCATATTTTGCATGTTCAAATTAGAGAGGCAGGTTGGAGGCGGTCACTCTCGCCGTTTGGGGCTGCTGCTAGGGCGAGTCTTTCATTCCTCCCTCCGCGATGTCGCTTATGGCATTTATCTTATCTAGAGCTTGTGTCCGTAGGCCAAGTATTTCAGGTTTTGAATCTCGTCTCACGCACTTTCTTTGTTCTACGTTCGCCTATCCCGACGCTTACATATATGTAAAGGTGTATTTTCTTGCTTTTTTGCACCCCTGAGGGCTTGAGCTTAACTGCTGAATAATTCTAGACGGCAAGATTTATGTCTGGCATCGTGATAGTGGAATGCTGCTAGAGTGTCTATCTGGCCATGGCGAGGGCAGCGTCAATTCCGTTGCATGGAATCCAACGAACGAGCGGATGTTCGCCTCCTGCTCCGACGACCAGACGATAAGAATATGGGAAGCACCCCCGGTGGATTTGTACGCTGCCAAACTGCCAGCGGAACAACATACAAATTCTTCGTCGTCATCTTCGTCGAGAAGGGCAAAGGAAAGATAAAGCAGCGAGCTGAGGGTGGCGACGTTGAGTCAAGTACGTGGTAGGGGCACATTAATACGGGTCTGAAGCCGACTCCATTGAACCCTCGAGACGGGCCACTACCCGTCTTTCGACCTTCCTTCTTTCATCCTTCCTTCCAGACCCGTTGTGCTGGATCCTACACCAACCTGACATGTCATCTGCCCGAACTCCCTCGAACACGCGACCATCGCTACTGTAACACGACTGGTGCTCCCTTCCGACGGCTTCTACCCACTGCTCTCTGTAACACACCGCACAAATACTCACCATCCACCATTTGACGCTCTACACGACCCAACGCCCTGCCATTGACACTATCGTTTTCTATTTTGCATAGTTACATGTCCGGCCCTGCTGTGGGCCCTCCACTACATCACCACACTCCATTCTGCAGTTATAGATAGCATTTATACCGGCTCTGCTCCTCATTCGATGAGATAACCGTCCTGAACTGCTGGATTTGGGACTACAAAGGAAGTCATCCTCCTAGCTGAAGGTACCTCTATGGCCCAGCTTCGCCGCTGAAAAGGCTAAAGTTGGAACTGAAGAAGCCCTAAATTTATTACACGTTTGCATACCACAATGTTGCATACCTCATTGGCTCCCTCGTGAATTTATTACTGTTTGGAGGAAGCTCACGATAAATTCGACCGTGCATGCTGACATAGCGCACGCTCTCGCCGAGGCCGCAGGAAGCAAGCCTGCAAATAGTTAGCCTCGTTCCATGTGGACAGTCCCGAGACCCCAGGTGGACAAGGAGTCTTGGACATAAACCAGCGGCGGAAGTCCTCGGCCCACAACCAAAATAGACTTTTTGCTGAGCAGTTGTGAGAAAGAAAAGACATTATAGGCATTTAAGATGGGCGGCTCATTTCCGTCATCGACCCGTCGAACATGTCTTCAACTTTATCGGGTCTTGGTGCTTACGGTCGGTCTTCACGTACAATTTCAAGGTCTCAGGGAAATGTGCAATTATGATAATTCTACACGGTAAGCTAGTTGCTACAGTAGGCAATGGGGAAGAGCACTTCTCCTCGATCCGGGTGAACATTTACAACGTACGACGTGATTGCGTAATAAAGAGATAGGCGGAAGTGGAGCAATGTGTAACTTCTCATACCGGATGCTGTGAATATGCTTTAAGTTTCCGTTTGGGCACAAATAGGGATGCCATTGGATCTTTCTTCACAGGAGAAGACTTTGGGTTGACACGTGCCCTGGAGGATCTGTTACTGCTACTGCGGCGGCCGTCGACGGCAATGTGTGGCGGGCAGGAGGGATCGACTTATACAGGGGCTCGGTCGGAGGCGGAGGCGAAGACTTACACGTCAGGGGTTGCAAAGTATAAAGGCCGTTTATATGTGGGAGCACAATGTTGCGGCCTAGTCAAAGCAGCATACAACATAGAGAGAATTCTTCCACGAGAACTGGAGCATTTAATTCTTCTTGGAAGTCTACAAAGCATCTTTGTTTCTGTCAAAATTTCTTTTGTATCTTATATATGCTGCAACGTGGAGGCCTCTGTCGACAGCCACGTCAAGAGAAAAACTTTATTTAAAGTAGAAATGGGATTTTTCTTTGTTTTATAAGCGTATAAATTTTTTCGCCACTTTAAATAAAGAAATCCGCCCGACATTGCTCTCGATTCTTTGTCGGATGCCCCGTACAAATAATTTTTGGATAGGGACTTCAATACAAAATAGCGAAATTTGTCTTCTATTTTGAGTGAATAAAAATGTCCTACAACCTACTATAGGCAAAGTATAGGGCTAAATCGAGGATTCACGTGTAAATGGCCTTTATACTTTGTAAACCCCGACGTGATACATACCCCTTACCCCGACGTCCCCAGCCGCTCGTCGACGCAGTCCTGGCACTTTGGTAATGTACGAGCCACTCCTTTCTGCAGCATCTTTGAGCTAATTGTGCCTTCCAGTCTCTTGTACCTCGTGGTCACTCGTTCAAACCAAGCGGTAGTCGAGGCCCGTCCATGCGCACGCCCAACGCCCTTGCCCTCGCTCGCCGTCACTTTGAATTTCTCCTCTCCCTCTTCCTGCTCACGCCTTCTTCCATCCCCAGATTATTCCCTTGTCGATCCTCCAGCATTTCATCAACGTTCGCCGGGTGAGTATGCCTACCGAGTCTCTTATTTTCGATCCTGTCCTTCCATCCTCTTTTCTTTTCGTCTCTCATCTCTAATCCGCCCCATCCCATCCTGCCTGGCCACTACCCAACACCCCCGTCCGCCTCTTTCTTTCATGCTCTCGTGACGAAGCATCCTCATGTCTATCTCGCCCCATGGACGCTCAAAACGGGTTGTAAATTACAGATGACAGATATCTGTGGACGGGTGCTCGTGCGGTCAGAAGCTGGTCATTATTTGTCATTCAGCTTCAGCTTCAGCTTCGGCGGTTGAAAGTTGAAGTAGTGTTTCGTCCCAAGGACATATTGGCGTCTGGATTACCGAAGACGTCGAGCCGCCGCCGACGCTCTGCTTGGGCACGAAGGAGGTAGGATATGACCCTCCATCACCACCACCACCACCACCGTCTTTCTACAGACCTCCGTACTCGAGTAGTATTTATCTGTTTCCAGCCGAAACGATGTGCTGCATATAATAGGGCCGAGGTTCACATCGACCTGCAGGAGGTTCGAGCGCACGGATCCCCTTATGTACGCGTTATAATTACGTACACGGCGGATATTTTGCAGCAAATATTAGCAAAGACACCTAGCATAGGCCGAGAATTATCTCGATGCCCGCTCGGATGAGTTTGCGCATGGACCGTGTATGCGTCGTGCACGTGGTGCATAAGTAACTGGAGGTTGGGATCGCATCGGTGCGCGTCGGAGTAGAGAAGAGGAGGTGTAGAAGAACGCAAATACTGGGGAAGGCTCG